TTATTTTTACAAATTTAAAGAGTCTAAGTGATTGAAAGTGATAATTCATTATCAAGTCAAACCCTCTTTAAATTAGTCTATTATGAACTTATCCAAATAAATACATGCAGCATCTCCATGTTAACCACTCACTGTAGCTCATAAGCAGCCTTCTGCAAAGAAATACAAGAGAAATTTTTCACTAAGTGTCTTTCACTAAACCTTTGTGTTTAAGTCACCAAAGTTAAGCTATTTCAGAAGAATGAATGATGCATCTTCCAGACGCTAAAATATTTGAAATGTCATTTACACAAAATGTGAAAATAGATTGCCATAGAGTTAATTTATTTACTTTGCACATAAAAGATTCCTTCTTGATGTGGTATGACAGCGGTCTCTTAATAAAAGAGTGAACTGTTAGTGAGAGGTGCTGACTCAGCATAAATGAGGACCTGATGGATCAGACAGAATTGGGCACAGTGTAGTTATTGCCAAGGTGCACTAGAATGAGATCTGCAAAGGACCTTAAAAAAGAGGAATAAGATAGATTTTGCTAAAATAAAGAATACAAGTGCTTCAGCAGTGATGTGAAAGTGTACTCCTGGTCTGAACTACAGCAGACAGACCTTGCTTAGAATCAGGAAGACTGTCTGAGTCTGAGATGGAGCTGTCCTAATCAGTTGTCTGTTCTGGATTGCAGTTCACATTCTAGCCATGTTCAGAGATTGGTATGCATCAGACTTTTCATACTTTATCATTAAAGGATAAGTGTACCATGTGCAGTGCCACTGATCAGTGTCACCTGCCTCTCCCTCAGTCATTTGTGTTCTTCCTTACCATTTTCTGAAAGCACATTTTCTGTCACCGTATTACTGTCAAGTGCTTTAGGATGAATCTACTTTGGGAACTGCGAAAAGGGTTTGGATATGAAGTAGAAAATGGAATTATGATGCAATGCCACTTAATCAGGTCCTGAAATAATTATCACAGGACTGATTTCAGTGTAGTAAGCTATCTGCAGAAATGATAATAGGTGTTGCTCAAGCCTGGCACACCTAACTTCTTGTTTCCCAAGCCATATAAATAAATAGTCTTCTTTGCGTATATAAGTGTATCCACACCTCTCCTGTCACATTATTTCTGAGCAAAGAAGGGTCCTTCATCTAGATTACCAAATAAATGGAAGCAGACACCCTCCTATTTTGTAACACTAGGTATCATTTTGCTATGCTTGCAAGTGGAGAGTATAATTACCATTATCCCCTGGTACTATAAGTGACATTGCTGTTACTGCTTCCCAAGCTTCATTTTTAGGAACTTAGTTTTATCCAATACCAGAAAAAAGCAACCACTTTAAACTTTAACTCACTTAATGGTACATTCTCTTTCACATTAAATTCAACCTTTTATTACTTTTCTAGAAATACTTTTGTTAGGAAAAATAAGAAATAGCTGAATCTGTACTTATAAATTTGCCTCTAGTCTTTCCAGTACACCAAATGTACTCTACAGATAGTCTATAAGTTTTAGCCTTGCTAATGAAAGTTACATTAGGCCCTCATATAGTATATGCTATGCTTTTAATTTTCATTCTTCATTAGCACTTCACTTTTGTACAATCCGCTGGATTTCTGTGTGTCAAGCAAACAATTTCTGAAAGATTTAATTTTTTCTCATTCTAAGCTCCCATATAATATCAATAGGTCATAGGTCGGTCCAACTGAAGGTTAATGCTGTCATCCAGAACTTTGGAATGCAGCAGATAATTTGCTTTAGTGATGAACTTGAAAAAAGTTTATTGTTTAGAATAATCATCAGTTCAGTGTGAGATTCTACAGCACAAATCCAGGAAAGAGCAAATATCCTTAGGCTGCTGCAAGATCTGTTCCTAATATTAATTGTAGGGTAAGCTTAAGGAAAGTGTTGAAAACAGGATATGATGAAACATGAAACACTCCCTTGGCTCCCTCACAAATCCCTCCCTCCTCTTTCTATATTCTCTCTCAAAATAAATAGCTGTGGCTAGTTGGAATCCGAGTGCCACTAATGCTACACTTTCCATTTTAGTTTCTGGGTTTCTGTGGTTGTTAAATACTGGAGACTGAGACCTAAGTATATGCAATTTTCAGCCATTTACCTGTATTTTTTGTCTTTTTTCCTGATTTTTGAGATTATCTCAGTTGTTATTCCTGTTTGTTTAGGCAGAAATTCAGGGCTGTACTGGACCACTACTTCTTTAGGATGGTGAGGATTAAACTTGCTCCCATGTTGCACTAATAAGCTCATGGTTGCATTGTTCCAAACTTTTCGTCATAGTGAAAAATATGTATTACCCAAAAGTTTAAAAAACTATTTCACAAGATTTCTGATATACAAAAGGAAGGTCAAAATGGGTCTGACTAAAGTAAGAACATACCTAGAAGTTTGTGTCTTGAAGGCATTCAAACATATGTATCCTGTTCTAGTGGTAAGTGGAAAATACTGCTCAAATTTAATATTATTAGTGTTTTTTGAAATATATTAGCAATTCTAATAAGTTGTTATTTAATTGTGTGAAATATCTCTCTCAACTACTTACAAGAAGTCCAGTTTGTCATTCCCTGAAGTGGCATTGCAGATCAATAGCTGCTGCTATTGATCCTAACATCCTAAGTAGCTACCATCCTAAGCCAAACCTGGAACCATTACATTTTGGTCCAATCTCAGTGTTGGTGGGAGGGAGTTCTACAGCAGGAAAGTTTTTCTTTAGCTAGAAAAGCAAAAGCACTGAGATTAGATCCAGGATTGCAAATTCAACCATACAAAGCTGAGGTTTGAAAAATAATAGTCCCTGTTCTCAGTATTTACAATAATGATTATATTTTCAATTTGTTTCCATTATGTATTTTTTATTTTGGGCAAAAGCCTATCAGTTGCATGCCTCCAAATGAATTTGCCCAGAAGTAAACAGTAAATTTGTTTTATTTTTTTCTCATCTCCACATCATTTGCATGCAGCTGCCACGGTGTACTGAGGAACATATATCCAGCTAGTTACTGTTTCCACAGCAAGGGAGTTAGAATTGAGGTTACCGTTAACCAAGAGGTCAGAAAATTCTGTGATGTGTCTTCACTACATCATACTAAATTAAGGGGCATCCCACTTCCCTAAGACTCCAGGCCATCACCACACAGGTCAGTGTCAGCCCTTGAACTTTGTATGGAACCTTTCCAGCAAAGTGGCTCTCTACAATTAGAGAACACTTAAACTCTTTCAAAGTAATAAATTATAAATGTGTAAAACATTAGGTACCTTGCAGCTAACCACATAGACATTACAATTTGAGGTCTATTCTATGTATGAATTATAAAGACAGCAAACTTTTTTACTCTAAAGTTATTAACGTCATACGTTACAAACAAGAATTATAATGAAAGTTAATTTTTATGCTCTGAAGTTATAAGCTTCCTACAGTTACCCATTAAATGTTTAATATTGATACAGGAAAAAAAGAACAAATTTAATTCAGAGGGGACCAGCTACCTTAGGGTCACTCAGACCTGAAGCTTTGAAAGTGTTAAAGTGGAAGTTGCATACTGTTTACAATTCTTACTTCGGGGATTCAGTTCTGTGACTTGACTTCTCTGGCTCCTTTTCTCCCCTTTTACTCTTTTCAGTTCAACCCTTATATGTTTCTGCCTTCTTAGCAAGGCAGAGTTTGAGCAATGTAAGAGCTCTGCAATCTTGGCACGGTGGTTTCAGTAGCTGCATGGTATGGTATGTCCTTTATAATTTCACACAGTTCAAATCAGATGGAAAGATAATCAGCTGGGGGGTTTAAGAATGATCTGGGCTTGATATATAATATTATATCACATTTTTTCCACTGATCTAGCCAAATCGATTTCAAGAGCAAGATTCAAGGGAAAATAAGTAAACTGTAACTTCTTCTTTTAATACTTTAAATGCCTCATCACATTTTCCTGTATTTTTTAATTCATAATTTGCATGAACTTGTCATACACATTCTTCTTCCTAACACTTTTTTTGAAGAGTGGTTTATTTTTGCTATTTTTTACATACCAACTGTATGGTACCTGGTCCCTGTAAAATCATTCAGTGAGCATTTTGGTAGAAGAAATAGGCCAAATTTTAATACTCTCAACCTTACCCATTCCAGTTCATCCACTCCCAGCTGTATATCTTCTAATGCCTACCTTAGTCATGCCAAGATCACATTTTTCTCCACTGAGTGTTAGGTCCTGCTGGCAGACACTGCCTTCTGAGTTAAAAGTAGGGCTCATTCTCAGTTGTAAATCTCTGTGTTGTTGTAAGCCAGTGTAGATTTGCACAGACCTGTCAGTGAGATCAGCTTTTACAGAGCAGTTGCTGCATTCCTTTTGCTGAAAGTAAATGTTTGGAACTTAGATGCCCTGATGTAATTTTACAACTAGAGATTCTAGAGTACAAACACACGCCAGAAAAGCCCCAGCTTTACTGGGTGATCCATTTTAGGTGTTGGATAGGTCTCATCACAGTTCATCTGTTTTTCAGCAATTTGTAAAACAGGTGAATCGTCTTGTTTTAAAATTTAGAGTGAAGTTAATTCAAGAGTTTTTAGGGGCTTAATGCTGTCTGCTGTAGTATATCTCCTATCATTTGTCTTGCAAGAGCCTGAACTGAACACTTTAGCAGAAGTATATATTAAAATTTTTCTTGTCACAAAGGGTTGGCAGAGCACAGAAACAGGCAGAAAACAGTCAGAGAAATGGAGCGGTCTATTCAGATATTCCTGCATCTAATTTGTAACCTTGACATAATAATTCATGATTTGTCATCTATTTAAAGTACTGATACTAACGGAGATAGCATTATTTAGACACTACCAAGCAGAAACAGTCACAGTAGTTCTGTGTTACAAATTCCTATTTCAACTTCTTTCTGATTGAGTTTTTGAAATTTGCTATAGTAAATGGTAATTTTTTTCTTCTTTTTAGGACTTTGCCTAATTAGCTCATGTGTGTTTTCCAATGTGCTGGTTACAGAATGAATATTTTAACCTGCTGACCCACTTAGAAGAGTTCTGGGTACATATATATCGTAATTGGTCTTTTGTTTTACTTGGGTTGATGTGAATCAACTCATTTGGTGATGGAACTGAAAAGAGCAACCACCTACAAATCAACTTAAATTACACCTTTTGACTGCACTCAGAATTACTCACTTTTCAATTATACAGAAGTTCAATGGCCACCAGTGGGGTCCTGTGGGATCTGTTGATCTTTAAGATATGAAATCATTAAATGTGACAGATGTGAGAGGATCCTTATTCATCTGCATTGCTGTGGAGAGATTTCACCATTGCAAAATGGTGTACTGAAATCTTAAATATTGTTTAGCTAGGTAATTGCTCTGTTATTGACCAAATAATATGTGAATTTCATGATTATTCCAAGATCTTATCTTTTTCCTGAACTGGGTCTCTCCTGCAGACACAAAATGTTTCCTAGAGATAATTCGGTTAGATTTCTAAAGCATTGTGAATTGATTGGACCAGTGCTACAGTTTGTAGTGCCACTGTGATTAGAAGACTGTATTTCTGCGATGATTATAATACCATACCTAGTAATGTCATGAAAGCCATGCTTTACCTTTGAGAATGCCTTTGGTACACAGTGATACAGGAATAGCTTTCTCTTATATACTCTTTTGCCAATTATGTGACACTGCTGTTCTTCCTTGTATTTGGTGAAAGGGAATGCTCGATTAAGCTCCTTTTTCAAGTAAAAAGGTGGGCTTGTTATTTCATGTAGTCAAGATGCTGTGTGCATATCAAGATTTTTTGAGGTATCAGTAGTGAGGTATTGGGTATTTACAAACAGTGTATATAAACAGATATATTTACTTAGGTGACCGTTCAGTTTGAAGGGGGAAGCAACACACGTTCATTGACTTTTTACCAACATTAAAACATCACAGAGGATTTAGGTGACCAGTATTAATCCCTTATCACAAATGAAATGAGGACTGCTATGGTGAAAGCAGAAGCATTAGTTTCAAATTGTTACCCAAAAATACGTTGCCAGTGATTTTGTCAGCATGAATTTTTTGAGGTTGTAGCAGATAGTCATCACATTTTTCATGGCCAAAAGCAGTTGAGAAGAGTATATGATATCACACCATCTTCTCAATTAAAGGAATATAAACCTAAAAAGAAGTCAAACCGAGCAAAATTGATGGGAAGAAGGGAGAGGATGGGACAGAGCAGAGACACAAGGCTTTAGGAAGTTAGAATTGCTGAGTATGTGTATCTAACATTAGATACCTACATCCAGAGAGATGTTTCAAAAAGGTTAAGTGGGGTTTTTCAGAGATTCTAAGCATCTGTGGTTTCCACTAGCGGAATGAATTAAATATTTTTTCCCAAATATGTTCAGAATCCACAGATGCATTCCCATCTAAGAGGATGTGAATGCCAGATATGTTAGTTAAAGACCCATTGTTTTCTAGAATATCAGAGGGAAAATCAACAAGGAACTAATACTTGTCCTACTCTCTATGACTGATCTGTCACATAGTGGGATGTACTAATATGAAGCACATTTCAAAGCTCATAGGCATGTTTCTAAATCTTTTATAGGCTGATGTTTGCAGTTAGATTCTAACACTAGAGAAAGAATATGTTATTTTCTAAGGAAGGTATCTCTTTCCACAGACTTACAGTGCATTAACAACTCATCTGGACTTTGGGGTCCTGATAGTATACACAGATACCATGAGTGAAGTAAAACACAAATTTCTCACTAAGTGACTCATTTGATTAGCCAGTCTTGTCTGTGTAATGCAGAATTGTGATATTGATGTTACAAAGTGACAAAGTGACTTCCCACCAAACATAATCATGCTATTACTGTTTACTCTGACAGCAGCTTCTTTCCATCCAAGAGCTCAGCACATTTCACAACCATTAAGCCTCCCAATGAAATAGTTAAATGTCATTATCCCATTTTCTAGATGAGGCATATAGAGATTAATGACTTGTTAGAGTCATACAGGAAATTCGTGACAGAGCAAGGAATAGATGGCAGCTCCTCCAGCTCTTATGCCTATTCTCTTTTTCACAAAATTACTTTCTGTCCTCAAATAAAAGGCACTTCTGGTTTTGGAGCAACACTATTAGTGAGTGAACTCAAAACCTCAGTTATTGAATCAGTAAAAGAAAAAAGTGCTATTATTGGCATAGGATTGTTTTTAAGTAGAAACAGGTGAGAATGCAAGAATCCTAGATCTCAGTTTGAAGGTGGGGAAGGGGAAGGGGGATCTCAGCAGTTTTATGTAGCACCAGAAACTTAATGTGACCAGCATAGAAGAAATGGCTGTTGATCTGGTCTTGAGTCTTAAACATGTTGAGTCATTATGGGGCTTTTTTATTTGGCTGTGACTGAATCTCAGTATTTCTGTTTAAACTGAGCAAAAGGCAGTGTTCACTGTGTGGGTCACACATGATGTGCAGTTAAGTTTTTCACACCCAAAGAAATCACCCAAATTAAATCCACTAACTGTTCTGATACGTAAACACACAAGTAAATAATAAGATGTGAAATGCATCACAGAAATGCTTACACATAAAATATATCAGAGATTTTGTTTGGAAAGTTACTCTAGAAGTTAAATACTTTGGGATGTGTGTTTTAATCTTTTTTAGATTATTCTTGCTATTTTTTACTATAAGCTTTATACACTTAGGCATTCCCATCTGTAGTATAACATTGTCTATACAGGAGGTATTATGTTATCTGTATGTGTGTATATATCTGTATATATACAACATAGTATGACATGAATTCACGAAACTTTAAACTAATTTATATTGTATAGGAAAGGAAGGTGGAGGGTTTTAAGTACAAGAATAGAAATGGGAAGGTTTGTGTCTTGAGAGAAATATGTATGAATCTTTGAAAATAATTACTGATGTATTTGTTGTATGGATATTATCCTGCCTAGCTACTTAGTTTTAAATTAGAAGAGTCAATTAGGAGGAATTCCTGGCAGAAGTGAAAATAAAGTAGAATCCTGGAGATAATCAGGAGTCCTAATGAAACATAAAGAAAGCCATTAACTGGGGATCATGCTCAGCTGGACTCTGACCTGGGCTGATGAAGTTTCTTCTTTCAGTCAAGGTTAGGGTGGAAGATGATACTTATGAAATCTTAAAGATGCTGGCCTACGCAGAGAAAGGGGTTGAGTGAACCTCTTCGGGGCGTGTCACTGAGTGCTGACAAGGACTGACGCATACCATGAGTGGCAGAAGACTTTCTATATGACCTTGGCCGAGTCATTTAATCCCTCTGTGACTTGGTTTCCTCATCTGCAGAATTAGGTACAAACAATAATACTTTCCTGCCTCACAAGAAGCTGTGGGGATTACTTCATTACTGTTTGCAAGGTGTGTTCAGGGACAAATAGAATAAATGCAGTGGAAATGTTATTATTTGTTGCTGGAAACAAATATCAGATACCTTGTTGATCATGTCCTGGAAAATATATTATTAACTGGCTATTTCTTGGAAATCTGATCTTATTAGAAACCGCATGAGCCCATCATACCTTCCCTCTTTCCTCTGCTTCCTTTATGCTCTTTTATTCAAGTAGTTGTGCAAATGTTATTAGACAAAATTAGACAACCTGTCTTCCTATCAAAAAAGTATGCTTCTTTCAAAGATGACTGCTTTTTAGCTTCTGTAAATGATGAACCTGTAACTCCTCAAATCTATAATCACATTCTCTTATCTGTATAGATTGATATAAAGATAAGTAACAAACTTCCTTTAGTTACAGTTTTGAAGAAGTGGATAGCAAGTGTTTAAAGTTGATTTTGAATTCCAAAGGAATATCCACTAGTAAGAGCATCTCCTTCTTTGCTTAAGAGATTGAAAGAAACTCTTATAAGCTGCAGCTCTATGCTTATTAATAACAGATCCATGCCTTGTTTGATCACACAGTAGTGCAGGTTTCACAGGTATCAGTTACAGACGTGTCTATCAAATCAGCCAAAATTCAATTAGCCTAAGCAGCCAGAATTTTTGAAGGAATGAGGGTGCATCAGCAAAGTGAGTTTATACCAGTCAGTTTTGTATCATTTAGCTAATGCAATTTTTGAGCCAATACTCTTGGATTGGTAGAAGCTCTAAAGCTGAATTTTCATTTCTGAACCCTAGCTACTCACTCACAAGTGGACTGCACATGCATATATGTGCATTGCATTAACTCTGCTATGCAGGGGAGTTCTCTAGGCCACAGGGACTTGTGATTAGCTTGTAAACATATTTAAATTGTACTTGAAAGATTCTGGATCTATAAATGCAAATTACATTAAAAGAGAATGTTTCAGTAATACCAGTAGGTATGTGTGTAAGAGAGACCATTTAACTTCTCTGTGACTGTGAAAACAGTGAATTTTGATTGTTAATGTTAAGGCTCCACTTTTCTTTTGGACTGCATATTTTGGTAGTGGAATCCCTCTATTATCATGTCTTCAATTCCACTGACAGATGTTTAGGTTTACTTAAATCTGAATTTAGAGTCTGGTAAACCACTAACAAATGGTAGCCACATTATATGAAGTTATATGAAGCATTGCATAAATTTGCAGCCACACCTAAGCACTCACCTTAAAAGCACATAGGGACAATAGTGTTTGTTAGCTTGCACAATGCATGAGATAAGGTGATGCAATGTTCATATGTCATTGCTGTTGCATGTGCTGCTCATGTCAGGGGTTTCTCCCAAGCAGCACACAAATGTAGGGCCACGATAAGCTGTGCAGAGTCTTGTTTGCCCTCACATCTACTGTGGCATAAAAGGTTTGGTAGAAGTAATCCATTTGATCACTCCCTTCCTACTCTTTTGTAGTCAAGTCAAACCTCGTTTTTGCTCACTAATTCTCATGTAAGGCTCTCACTGACATCACCTAGCTAGGACTTTCAGGGTGTGAACCATTTTTGTTATTTATGGAGTATCAGACTTACACTAATGTTGGCAGGGTTTAAATCAGACAGGAAAAGTACTAGCATGAGCAAAGACAAGAAATGAAAGACAAAAAGGAGTTGAATTTTTTTAATATGTGGAAAATGGTAACTTTCATATCTTTTTTTTTCCTAGAAAAACGTGGTGTACTGAATTATCAGAAGTAATATTTATCGAGAATACATTTAATATATTTCCTTAAGAGTGCAAAATATACTATGTAAATTTTAGTTGGCTCTTACAATGTACTGTTGTAATGTAATATTATTCTTCTGAGGAGTAACACTATATTTACAGATAGAGCTATTTTGAGCAATATGTAATTCTACTGTATGATATGTTGGTGCATTTTTAAGAAGGGAATCTATTTATTGAGCATAGGAAGCAAAATGTTGCTTTTATTATAAAAAATGTGGCAATATTTAAAGGCCTGGGAAACAGGATATAAATACTGACATGCTAGTATAAGGTAGAAGACACTGTTTTTGAAGGAAAAGTAAATAAATCTATCTCTTCATTTAATAATTTTGATACAATTCATATAACTATTAAGAATCCTCACCACTAAATTTAGACTAGAATGTGTTTCAAAACAACTTCAGTTGAGTGCTTACGAGTTATACACAGAAAGTATGCTGGAGGATTGCAGCAATGATAACATCCTCTTATAGCACTAATGTACACTGAGGAAACCACTTTCATTTGGAGATGAAATGTGGGATGTTACAGAAGTTTCTCATGTTGTCAATATAGATGTCAGGAGCGCAAATTTTATTTTTAACATTTATAGGGATTATTCATGGTCTTCCCTGTTTGAGTAAGAGGGAAACAAAAAAAAAGACTGGGAGAGTTTGGCAAGGCAACTGGCACTTAAGAGGAGTGAAGTATGTTCAGAAATTATTGTTTTCTTTTTCAGAATTATGAAAAATAGTGTTTGGAAGAAATTCAGTTTCTCTCCCTTCCTACTCACTTTTGTTGTTCCATAGAATCAGTTTGAACTACATAACAAAAGATATCTGTGGTTCTAAACTCAGCACTTCATACTGTGAGACCACTTGTTAAGCATATTTTCTCTGAAACAATTTTGGAGTAGCTAGCATTGTACCATTCACTGTCTCCAGCACACCTGATATATCCAAGCAAATAGTTTGTCGGTTCTCCTGCGCAGTCCAAGACTCAGTGGTGTATCAACACTGCGCACCAGAAACAGCAAATCAGTTTGATAAGGATACCAGACCCTGATGAAAATAACTCTCACATATTTTACCTTGTTATTCATGTATATCTGTTGACATTAGCTGAAGCTTTGTTATGCTTTCTACCATTTCCAGTTGAAATGTAAACTGCTAGAACAAAAATAATCTTTGGCTCAGATGCTGCAGAGAGTAAGCGTAAAGCTGTTGAAGGTCATGAAGGAGGTTGGAGGTCCTAATGTCTGTGAGGAAGAAGGAACCGGGCTGCTTTGTCTGATCTGGTTTAAACAAGTTTTAAATAGAAACAAAGGAGTTCTAGGAAAATCTGACAGGGTTTTCAGTCCTTTGTTCCAGAAGATAGTCTTTTGCTTAGGTGAGTAGCTGGCTTCCTCTTTGTCCATCATGTACTCTTTAAAATTTTAATGCACTTCCCAGTAGGCATCCCCTTCCTTTCAGTGTTCTGGACTCTGGACTCTCTGCCATGTTCCCTGGCTTGTTCTAATGTGATTATTTTAAAGGAAGACCAGCTAACTCTATATGGGTTACCATACAATCTGAGATCTTAAAAAAAAAAAAAAGAAGCTAATATTCCCACGAGAATTTGCATTCCAAGCAGCAGGGAAGTCCATGGGCGTACAGCACTGTTGATCTGCACTGGCACAGTAGTTTGAGTACATAGCAAACTTTGTAATCATGGTTTCACTAGAGTCAGGAGTTCACCACTTGTTCAGTTGGTATTTAATTTATGATCTCAAAATTGTCCTTTCAAGTATGGAGACCTGAAAAAGACTTTTTTTTTTTTTAATTGGCAATTCTGCAGTACAGGTAAATTAATACTGAATCAGTGTTCTATGTTTGATTCCTTGGGAATACTGTTCCTTTGAAACAAACCGCAAGCAGTATGTTGTGTAAGAGGGACGCAGGTTTACAACTCTCACACTGTAAACTAATGGTCTGAGTCCTTACCAGCTTATTTAATGTAGGATTTTATTAGCACTACAGCCAGCAGAAGTACATTGCTTGTCTTATCTATGCCTCTTTATAACCATATTACCGAGATTACAGCAATTCATTGCCTGACATTTATCTATCTGCCTGTCAAATCAAATATTCATGGAGTACTCACTGCTGCTCAGAGTAGCCTGGAGAAATAGTTCTAATCCCTCTCCTTACCTCTCAGTATCTCCTAGCTGGGAGTGAGGGAGGTCTTGCATACATGCATTTGTGAGATCCCATCTCTTTGGTTATGTGTTTCTAGTGTGAGCAGTTGACATTCCTTTACTGTGTAATTTATTTGGTGGTGTTACCGGTATGCTGTTGCATTTGTGGTGTGCAGCATGATTTTTCATTGCTATTTATAACATTGGTATTAATGGTAAGCTTGGTGGTATAGTAAGAAAAAAAGGATTATGATCTCTTCCCAATGGATCGCAGCAGATAGGAAACAATGTATTTCATAATGGAACAATGTAAATAAAATGCTACTCATTAATTAAAAGCGATTAACTGAAAGAGAATACAGTTAGTTAGATGCACTGAATCTTAAAAATAGATAATGTTCTTAAAATATATTTTAAGTGCACAAATATCAAGGAATTAAAGAAGGTTCTTGTGAACAGTCTTTTGTTCATGGATTTCCTGGTATCATAGAATCACAGAATTCCCTGATTAAATAGGAATGTGTGTCATATTGTTCAGGTCTTTGAATGTGTCCTGAGAAGGGCAACAAAGCCAGTGAAAGGGCTGGAAGGAATGTCCTCTGAGGAAGAACGAAGGACTGTGGGCTTGTCTAGTTTGGAAAAAAGGAGGCTGAGGGATGACCTCATTGCCCTCTACAACTTCCTTAGGAGGGGAAGTGGAGAGGGAGGTGCTGATCTCTTCACCCTGGTATCCAGTGATAGGACTTGTGGGAATGTGCCAGGAAGGTTCAGACTGGACATTGGGAAGCATTTCTTTACGAGGGTGGTCATGCACTGGAACAGAGAGGTGGTCAATGCCTCAAGCCTGTCAGTGTTTAAGAGGTATTTGGACAATGCCCTTAACAACATGTTTTGTCCCTTGCCTGAAGTGGTCAGGCAGTTGGACTAGATTGATGACTGTGGATCCCATCCAACTGAAAATATTCTATTCTATTGTATATGTCATCCAGCTTTTGGACTTCTCCCCATCTTCAGTAGAGACCTTATGGAAATGCTTCTGAAAAGAAAAAAAAGAATTAGTTTTGAATGCAGGTCAGATGCAATAACTTCAGTTCCTTTCCACAAGGTACATAAGATGAAACAGCCTCATTAACTCTTTGCTCTGAGAAAATGCTTGGCAGTACTACAATGATTGGAATTTTCCATGTCTTTTCCAGCTGTAAGAGAGGGGTAAAAAAGTGAAAAACCAGCAGCAGAATACTCTCAGGTAACAGACTAATGTAAATATTTTACTGGAATTTCTCAGGAAATATTAGTAAGGTGGTTTTTGTGTAGCATAATTCTGTAGATTTTAGTCAACATACTAGGTTAGGCTACCAACCCTCAGAAGCCTTTCCTATGCCAGATACCTAGATAAAGGTCAGAGGGGGCGTGACTCACCTGTGAGGAGTGTGTTGTCACCACCAACTCTGGGCAGGACAGTCCCACCTGTGGTGTCCCAATTTCCACGGCAGATGCACAGTTGGCCCGGATTGGCCGTGCTGGTTCCCCGCCCTGCCACGGATTGGCCAAGCCTTCCATCTCCTCTCTCTCATCTTCCTGGGACACCTGCACTGCCCGGCTGCAGCTCCTCCACAGTGACCACAGAGGGACCGGAGGATGCCCACGCATCAGCACTTGGTCGATAAGGTGTGTTGGTGGGGATGTGGTGGACAGGGTGCACGCCAACTGGGGATACTTATTCTCAAAGGCTGAAGACAGTCTGTGGCTCATCAAGAGTGTCTAGGAGAAGAGAAAATAATCATAACGAGTATCATTAGAAAGGGGTATACAGGACTTACTCTTAAACTGTTTGCAGAACTTGCCAGGACTGTGTTTTTCAAATTACAGAAAGGTATTTATTATATTCATTAAATGTTCTATATTTAAAAGCTTTTAAAACAATTTTTGTCTCTATTCAGAAGGTTGCCCAAGGCTCTGGAGGGGCAAACCACTGAAGTGTCTCTTCCTGAGTCCAGTAGACTTTGAATACAGTAGCTAAGTATCACTCAGGGACTTAATTGTTGGCCTGAAATCGTGTTAGACTAAATATGGAAGAGGATTCTTAAAGTAGCAGCTCAGGTGGTGATGATAGCCATATAGATGAGGGTCACATAGATTCATAGGAAGAAAGGTTTGAACCTGTGATAAAAAATAATTAGAATTTTTCCATCAGATGAAGGAACTGGGGATACAGTTTATTTTTCATAATTATACCCAATTAGAAGCTTGAAAATAATATTCTTATGCTTTGATTTTATAAATATTCCCTATGCTTCTATTATATAAATATTTACTTTTTGTTTCTTTACATTTTTCATGGAGAAAAGGTTAATTTGTGGTGCAAGATAACATGATTGCATTAAATATGTATTGGAACTCAGGGCTTATGGAAATTATTTTCTGTCTCAAGTCTGGACTTGGAATTTTGTAAGACACTATATCTCTTCCTCATCTAAAACCTAGTTCCAAAAGATGGCATGATGAGACTCTTTGAATGCCTCTTGAACTGTTAAATCAGAGAGCTGATGCAAAGAGAAGGCATCTCAGCCATGTTTCAACTTGTTGTGCTTGTGTTTCTGGTTCTTTTCTAGCTAGAAAAAGAGGAAAGGAGGTTTCAGACTGGTTTTCTTTTGTGGCAGAGTGCAGCTGCAGCCAATTTTCCAATCCTAGCTAAACTAAGGACTTTGTGCTTTGAAATAGAACATCTAATTAGAAACAGATTTTTTTTTTCCCTCTCTCCGTGAGTCAGACAAAGATTTCAACAACATATGGACAGGTTCATATTAAATCACTGTTTACCACATCTGTTGATATAATAGCACCTACATGCTGTATTTAAAACTTAATTAGAGGTGGGCCATGTCAAAATCGTCATGAGAGATTGGATAACCACACCCAGCACACTGATACCAAAACATAATGCTTACCAGGATCCCATTTAAGTGACACTTTGATGAGACTTTGGAGAGGAACAGTCTTCATCTGCTTTAAAGACATTAACTTGCTTATATGGCTTTCCTGATTGCTGCACTGACTGGTTGTGACACCATGCAAACCTTCCTCCTCCTATAGGAAATTTTTCAACACTTCACAGTCACCTGTTTTATTACTTACTGACTCAGTAGCTTTTTAAAATTTTGTTTAAGTTCAGAGTTAAGTACATGGGTGTTTGGAATTGTGTATTTTTTCCCTACTTCCAGATACTTCTGTTACTTATTTCACTAACACATGCAAAACCAATGGTCTTACACGTTCATGCACAAATTAAGACACACAGGTAGATGATACAAATTGAACATATCTCTTAAATGGTGTTTGAAATGCTTTAGAAAATCTCAACTAAGTGTCTCCATTCTTTCTGTTACAGTCTGTGTCCCATAAGGCAATCCTGTAGCAGACAGCATGTAAAATAACATTACTAAATACTTCTTGTGATTTAACAGTTGTATCAGCGTTTTTGTAGCTGGAACAGTGAGTTATTCATAAGATGTAATGGCCTGGCAAATTATGTAGTGCCATGGTTGAACGTTTAGACTTTGAACATGGGCCATAAAATCTGATATTAAACAACTGAGAATACTATTGGGAAATGTTTCCTTTTTTTCTTGGAAACAGTTTACAATCAGTGTCAGTAATACAAGTGAATTATGAAGAAAATATGTCTTCTTTTCACAGACAGTCCTTGAAGGCTGGACTTCAGTCCTGCCTCTTAGTTACATTTTGTGAATTTCTGTACTGGGTATAGTTTACTCTTTGCCCATAGGAAACATGCACTAGCAATTTAGTATTTTTAAATAGTTTAGAAGTTCCAGAGGACTTTGCAGAAGTCTCTTGTTAAGTCCTTCAAGAATCAAATATTTTGAAAAACTTCAAGAGTTCTCTGGGGCATTTGAATATATTTCTTGACTGTATTTTGGAATTGGGAGTAGGGAAAGCAGTCAAAAGAGAGCATGCTAGTCATGGTTACATCTATAGTTTGAGAAAGCAAGGATTGCATCTCAGTTCTTGAATAATCAAGGAGGTGAGCTAAAACTGCCAATGCAACAATGAGGAACTTTGTTTAAAGACTTCTCCAGTTCAAAGGTGTAATGCAGCAGACGTGGCTGTTAATGGATTGCTGTCATGTAACCAGAGAATTTAAAGTTCCATTAATAATTCAGTACTTTAAAATGAAATTTATGCCTCTTATTGCATTGTTCTGCCAGTGTATAGAAGTATTTTACTTTAATGTATTCTCTTCAAAATATGTGAATTCAAAGAAAGTGCAGCTCTCTAGGCTTGTTCTGTTTCCTGTCCTGGAGAAAAGCCAATATTTCTCAAACATGGCAACTACTAAAAAGAAGTTACTATGAACTATATTGTCTTTTTGTTCCACAGATGAGGAGACCCTCCTGCTTTGTTTTTTTGTTCTGTGGGGTATTTTTGCCTGGAATCCTCAGTTTTCCACAGACAAACACCTCAATCGATTGTGATTCTCTGTTACCAAACTATGAAACTGAACCACAGACATCTGCACCACCATATATTATTGCTGTATCTTTTGATAACTTTGAGCCAGGAAATGAAATCCAAGGTAAATAACCTCAACAACATAATAACATCTTCGTGTCTTCCAGAAATACCAGTCTTCATAAAAGTTCCCCCATTTCCTTCTCAGTCTGGATAATTTACTTTTTTACTTCAATCTTGTTCATCTATACCTGATACATTATTATTTTTTAGATTTTTTATATATGTATGTATAACTCTTTTTTTCCTTTTTCCATCTAATAAATATATCTTAACTGTATGCTGTAATTTTTGTAACAAAATTAAAATTAAGTAGGACAGCTGGCCAAACTGGACTAATAATTAGTTGCTCATTAACCTTGTATTTGAGTATTTGCTGTTGAACCAGGCCTCTGCAATACAAAGGGATCCTACTCATTAGTTGTTCACATGCTGTCATCTTTCAGGAAAATAAAAATTCAGGACGCAGTATGAGACAACTCAAGAGTGAGACACTTTGAGTCATCCTTCTAAGAACTGTATCCCAGATTTTATCAAATTGCAGGGGGTGGAGCTATTGTGGTTTAAACCACCTTTTTATCTTCCTAATCCTAAATTGCTCTCTGGATGAGACACTTTAACAACCTTGTTTCTCCATACTATGATGCCATCTCATAGTGCTGTCACACTTCAAGTGACTTGTGAATGCTTCTTTTTCTGACCATTCATGCTACAAGGAGCATGGAAGTGGAAGAGCATTGTAACCTGTTACGTGTCTGGTTTTGTATCTCAGTAGCTGAAAAAGAGCATTATTCACTAAGTAGCTACTGGATGCTGTTGTACTTGAACCATGTAGCATGAATGTGGCTTCCATAGAGAGTGATATATAGGGGGAAAAGAACGGAGAAGCATCAGAGCCCTGATATAGCTGCCATTCTTGGAAAAACATGTGAATAGCTCCTTCAAGGATGGGAGGGCGGTTTGATTACAGATAGCTACTTTTAGAATAGTATTGACAGAAAAATGGTGGATTGATTTAAGTACATGCAGACTGTTCTATGAGGTTAAATGGAATTTACCCTGATAAAAATATTGAATCCCAGATGCTACTAACCTTGCCTTTTGTCCCCCTCTTTTTTTTTTTTTTTTTTTATTTTTACCACTACTTTTCTAATGTTTCAAATTGTGAGCACCCAGTACCTGGTCTCAGGGAGCTGCATTAGGTTGCATTGAATATATTGCAGTTTGGCCTATGGCATTCCATGTGCCAGCACTCTTACAGTCTCATCTCTGCTTGATTTAGCACTGCATTCAAGTGCTGGATGTCATTGCTTCTGTGAGACCTGGGGAAAATTAGTGAATTAGGGCTGAAAATTGACAAAAAATTGGAAGGCTAATTATGCAGGTGTTTGGAAATGTTAAATTATCAGGATTGGTCCTTGCCTTGACTTCTGTGTCATTCCACTTCATCCCTCTTTATTTTTAATGACTACACATAACCTTTGTGCATAAACCATTATTCTGATTTTATTTGCAAAAGTACCTAATAATGGAAGTAGCAGAGTAAAGTTTTAGTAGACCATAAAAAATTCAATTATGCCTTTTGAAATTTAATTTCTGTTTGGATATAAACAAAACAGAAGACTGCTCTTTCCCATATTTTTCTGAGCTCCTTCAGTAACAGAAGTTGAATAAAATTGGGTAGCTCATATAATTATTGATTTTTTTTACTTAATATAGAACATGAAAACAAAATTGTCTAGTTTCTCTCTTTAGAGTTGTAATACATTTTAACAAAAATGTGTCTGCAATTCAGCCTTAGGAAAAAGTTAATGTTTTCTTTTAAAACAGAGGTAGAAAGAAATGCATTTCTCTTTTTCCTGTAGATATTTTGACTTTGTAGGCCTAATTAGACAGAAAATAAATAATCTTTTGGTCAGCAGGGCCACTCATCACTTGGTAGAGCAGAATTCCTTTTAAAATTGTCAGTAAATGAAAAATTTCATGCTACTTTACACAAAAGCCCCTCTCCAAATTTTTTCCTTTATAGTCATTCTCCTTATAATTAAGAAAAGCTTTTTAATTGGTTTTTAAAATTGTACACATGTAGTCTTGTGCCTTGGAGTAAAGGAAATTAGATGTTACACATTTAGGAGGTTTTAGTAGTGTATGAAACTTAAATTTCTCAAAATGTCTCTTTTCACAGTGACTCTAGAAGCACTTGGAGAAGCTGGTTTTAAAGGATTTAATCTACAAGCTCGAGAAATAGATGGAGATACTCCTGTTGGTACTTTTAAAATTACAGATCCAAACACCAAAGGCTTGGAATGCCATAATATGACGGTATGTGTTCAGTCTTTGGAATACTTAATTAACCTTGGTTTTCTTTTAAATAGTAGAAATAATGAGCATTTTTTATATGGCAAAGCTACTTCATCAGAAGAGGTTAAAAAAATTAGACTTTTTCAAGAACTACATGCATCCTCTATATGATATGAATCTAATGTAGAAACTACTTGGCTTTTTTAGGAGGACATCAGTGTTACCTTTTGTGGTAGAGACAGTTCCCTTAACAATATAGGTAAAATCACTTTTGCATCTTATATAATTATGTGTATTTATTTTTAATTGCAGAATTCAGCAATAAGTCATGCAAATTCAGATGTGAAACAGAAAGTTACAACAACATGGATTGCTCCACATGATGTTGGAGAGCTTCAATTTATGTAAATAACTATTTTTCTTTTTTATTTATTTTTCCCCTTGAAATTTTATTTCTATGGAATATTTTGAAATAGACCTGTGTTTTTTTTCATTTTGAACAGTGGAAGAATAGTAGATTGATGTAAATTCTGCTAAAATAAATTTGAAAATCAGTTTATGACCCATGAACTAACTGCTGAAACTCCTGAAACAGGAGAAGACAAATTTATCCTACTTTTAATGCTACTTTTCTTGGAGATCTGAAGCTTGTAAAAGTACCGCCTGGTCTAACAAAATACACGCTTGATGTAATTGGGAAATATCTAAATATTTGACAGGTTGAATTGTTTGAAGTGCAAATTTATGATAGGGCCATCTTTGCCTTGCTTCATTATATCTTGAGGAATACAAAGAACAGGCAAAACAACACAAAACCACAACTGCTTCCACTCATTAATGCCATGAAAATCATTTCACCATCATAGATATAGATTGTCAGAATAGGAAAGAGTTGTGACAATTCTTATGGGTGTTTGAGCTGATACTCTTCACTGAGGTCAGTATTTCTTCAAATAGTGTCTATTCCTGTTCTGCTTGTCTCAGCATCTCTTTCATTAATCTTCAAAATTATGTCAGGTGATAATATAAGTCACTGGAAAAGCGTTCTGTGAAACTTGTATTGTATACCCCTAAAACCAAAATACAGTGGATTTTCTTGGCTGGGGGAAGGGGGGAGGAGAGTATATTGGTATTTTATACTGAAATATTTTGATAGAAAAAGAATTATTATTTTGGTTTTTTTTCTAGTGCAACCGTTGTTCAAAATCTAGAGAATTTTTGGGTTGGAATTCAAAGCAAAACTCTCACACCTACACATTCTGAGTCAGTTAATGGGACAGGAAAAAGTAAAAGGAAGGTATGTTTTGAGTGTATTTGCATACTAGAAATTAATACAGTAAATTAAAGTATCTTTGAATTGATACAAGACATATATTTGTTGTCATTTATTCATTAAGATGGCCAAAATCATTACATGTTTTCAATAATTTTAATCTGCCTGATCTTCTTACTAAAATGATGAAAAAATACAGCAAATATTATTTTTCTCCCACAGAAATAAGAAAGGTAATAATCTAGTTATGAAAACAACCCATACCATAAAGAAAAAGAAAATAATATTGTTCATAAGGAGAACTGTACTGTACTTTTGGTGTACTGTGCTGTTCTTAACTCTTGCCCCAGTTCCTGGGAACTATAGCTGTGCAGCATATTCTTAGAAAGGAGTTTGCTAATTTTTTTTGCCAAGAATTATGCTTATATGAAACATATTAAACATGATTGTCCACTTAAGTAAAGAAAACCTGTTCAAATCAACCATATTGGTTCTTGACTGTAGCAGCACTGATTTTTGAGCTTGTGATCTAGAAGAGTGAACACCTGTCTTTAGTCTCACACTTCACCAAAAGTATTTCCTGTTTCCTATAATAAGCTGCGCTTTTTTCTGCAATAAATAATTTGGTAATGCTTCCTCTTTTTTCTTTTTTTCCCCCCACAGCTTATGATAGAAGTAGAATGTAACAAGGTAAGAGCAATTTTTCTTCAATTTCCCGATTTTCAGTTACCTCAGTTTTAGAATTCTTGTCCTACTGCTCCACTTGTTTCATGCTTGCAGCATGAAGATTATATTGTACCATTCAAATCACTTTCCTAGATAGATCTCATTTATGCTTTCATTTTTGTATTCAGTTTTGAAGGTATTGTTATTTTTAATTAGTTAATATTAGTTCTCATGAACTTGATGAGCAATGAAACACTTGATTTCTTCACTCAGACTATGGATATGAATTCAGTTGATTTCCTGTTTAAAGTAATTTGGTATTTATACACCACTCAATAACCAGTAACTGGAATCTGTATTTTCTTGCAGCGTGGAGGGACTTACACAACACAAGGCCGATGCGTCATGGTAAATATTCTTTCTCCAAAGACATTGACAATGCTGCTAACTGCCCAAAATCTTAAGACCTGGTCACAAACTGCTTCTAGTCACTTCTTTATCCCTCTTGTTACTCAATTTAATTTCCTTTTTGGCAATTCACCTTTGTTGATTAAAATTCAAAACCTTTTAAGTCATTGTCAGCCATATCATTTCCTTCTGCAGGTTCTCTCTAGCTAATCTGAAGTAACTTTCTTATAGAATTTTTCTTTTTTCTGTGTTCACTTTTTATTCATAGTGGTTGCTTGCTGTTCAAGATCACTTATTCCAACAGCTCTAAAACCTTGCCTTTTGCAAATCATGATCTTGATATAAAATATAACAATTTAATTTTTTTCCTCTGAAAACTATCAGTTGCAGCTCAGTGAAGAAGCCTCTTTTTCTTCTTTACTTTTTTACAGCAAATATGTTAGTGGTTACATAGTCATATCAGTAAAAGGCTTTAGTCTACTTGTGACAGTGTGGGTTTCCCTCCTCCGTGATGGGCAGAAGTGTATGAGGTCAAATAAAAAAGGATGCAAACAGCAGAATTATGTTACTTATAACAGCTGCCTGGGTATAGTTTTGATTATTTGGCTTGAAAGATCTCTGAAATAATTTTGATAGTATCAGTTGGTGGTATGAAGTCTTAGGTAATTACTTTGTGGGTTTTTCCTTTTCCCACCAAGTAGAACTTTTTTTCCTGAAAATCACTTACATAAAATAATTTTCCTGCAAAATATTAAATACCATTTTGGTTTCTTTACAGGTTGGACCTTCAGGTTCTTCTCAGAGCAGCTATTCAGGCAGTCAGGTATGAGCCCTAAATTCCAGCATTTGTATGTTTTCCTTTAGTAATCTTGAACTAAAATAGTGTAACTACAGAGTACAGAGCTGATTTAACACTGTACTGAAATATCTTCTCTGCTAGTTCACACAGAATTGCAGAGTTATTCATCCAGTAAACAGTATCTTCAGTACCTGGACTAAGTTCAATTACCTCCTCTCTGTTGAACTCAATAACTTGCTCTCAGTATTTTTACCTACAAGCTGCTTCACTACCTTTGATTTCACGCTTCAGTCATTTTTGTTGAGCATTGACCTGACTCTTTTCAGGAAAATAATATTTCTTCCATCTTCCTAGAGGTTTCCTACCTATGTGTGCGTGTGTGCATACAAACAGTCACAAACCATTTACTTCATAGTTTTAGTGACATCTGGCATAATGAAAATGGAACTGTACCTATTCTTAATTCATCAGGTATTTTTCCTTTTCCCCCCCTCTTTTTTAATAGTCAAAATGAAAGATTTAAATATACTTGTGTTTCACTGTCTTTTCCACAAGAATTTATAAAATTTCCCTGAACTTCCCCAGATATTCATGCCCATATTAAAGCTCCAGTATAATGTCTATATTGCTTTTAACAATGACTTATATTTGCAGTTGAAAATTTGGAGTCTAATCACTGTCTAGTTAGCCTTTTAAAACTTCTGGGGTGTGTCTGCGTTTTCACTTACCACTTTTACTTTATTCATCACAGAAATATATGCTTGGTTTTTAATTAATTATCTTCACTACCATTAATTTACCTATTTACCCTTTAACTCTTAGATGCTTTCTGATATGTCTCCAGCCTCTCAAGGGTATATTTCTTACTACTTGCTAGTAGTTATTAGTGAGTTATCTAGTAATATTCTATTCCTTCAATCTTTACTACTTGTAACTGGAATTACCAGATATCAAGAAATACAAATTATTTTGATGTATATGCTAAACCCCCATTTTCTGCAGTGTATTTGTTTAATATATAATACCTATTCTTTCCTAAGAGCTGAGTTTCTCATCTTGACACTAAGTACCTAAAGTTATTAATTTTTTATAAAATATGAACCTCTTAGTAAAATTTTGAAAGGTTTCATGACCAATGACAGAGTCATATGGAAGTTATGTGAAATAAAGATGATGACTAATGTCTCATACTAAATTAAAATTGTTACAGGCAGTTGCCAGTGAACTGGTAACCTCTGTACTTGCTTTACCCTTACTAGCACATACATATTGTCAGCTGCACAGCTCTTCATGCCAAAACCAGCAGTTTGTTGCTTTTTTTTCTGTCTTTCCCCCTTTTTTTTTTTACAGGGAAATAATTGGCTTCTGTTTTTATTTCAGGGTGGAGTAGTCTACACAATAAGCAGCAGTGGATGTGGCCCTGTAAGCACTATTCTTACATTTACTCTTTTGTCCCCAGCATAACTATATTTATAGTAACTCGTAGCCTTCAATGGCATTATTTAATATGACTGTTCGTGTGGGAGTTTCTGTTGCAAACAGAAAATAATGAAGAGAGATCTCGAGGATGAATATTACAGTTTATTCAATGATATTAAGTAGCTGGAAAACAGAGAAGTTAAAAAGTTAAATAGAAACATGTAGATTATAGAATCATGAAAAAAAAAGGACTGAAAGGGTTTATCTGTGGCACTTATATTACACTCATTATACAAGGTATCTATTCTTCCTTCTACTCAAGACAAGACTGGTGCAAGTCTGTCTGCATGTTCTAGGTAGTTCCTCCTCGCAGCAGTGGTCACACAGATTTGTGCAAGAACTAAGGCTATTTCAGTTTCTCATTTTTCAGGCAGCAGGGATAGTTGTGAAGTTATGAATCCTGAACAGGTTAAGCCAGTCATCCAGAAATAGGTGAAAGATGCAACAGTGTAATGTAATGAATGTGCTGAATAGATCAAAGACTTACCTGAAGCATTTTTATCAAGATGGTGACTAATTGTATGGATTAAAATATATATATAATTATTTTGTTTTCCTTTCAGCACTTTCAAGATAAGGTTTTAATTTTTTAATAAAAATTTGTATTTAATCCAAACATTTCATCAAAATAAAAAGAAAAAAAAAGAAAAATAAATGAAACAGTGCAAAAATGTAAAACATTCATATCATCAGTATTTGCAAAATACAAAATTAATTCATCACAAAGTGTATTGGGTTTTTGCAAAGAAAACAAAATTACAGGTTTTGGGGAGACTTGATTGTAATAATAGTAACAATTGAGGTTTATGTAGAAAAGGAACTACTACTATTTATACTGAATGTTTACATTTTATAATTTATTGACTATCAGGAAGATGTTAGCTATTTTTTTCTTTTGGGTTTCTGCTTCCTAATTTTTACATGTATGTACATATGACATACATAATATGTTTGGATTACTAGCATTATATAAAACCTTTATAATTTATTAAAATTCTGTCTCAACAGTACCTATTTTAAAATGTTTCCCAAGTACCACTAGATAATCACTAATAGACAAAGGGCTCCTATGTTCACACATTTGTAGTGGAGACTACAATACTCTCCTTATCATCTATTCTTTACATAAAGATCAGTCAGAACTGAGGGTGTCTGAAGTGTGACTTTCCTTCTGAAGCATCTATAGATGAGAAATAACTGGTTTGTTTTTTTTTCTTAGGGAGGTGCTGCTGGTACATATGGTCAGCATGCCTGCAGAGATGTAAGCTGGTTATGGATGTTTTTACTGATTGTCTCTTACTATGCTTCTTAACTCATGTCCTTATTGCAAATCGCATTTGATTCTCTTCTGTAGAGCTATATTATTCTTCCTAACCATATAAGGGAAAACAGTTTTAGTCTGAGATATTATTCTGAGATTAAAAACCAAAATTAAAAGGCGTTACATTGTCAGTTCCTCAAAGTGTAATCATTTATATCATAAGGGCTACTCATCACCTATTACAAATGCTTAATTTGTTAGCCTACTAAAATGTCAGAATTCTTACTGAGTAATGCTTTTTATCAGAGTAATTGTCCTTGAATATTGCATATTGTGCAACACTATTTGGGTTTTTTTACAATCTTTATGTATTAATCCAGTAATTCTTTAGTTAGTAGAGAAATTTCTATTGTCAATCTCATTTCTTTCATTTTCACTTGAAAACAGGTTTATTTTAAAATCTGATATATTTTACATTTTTAAAATCACAAAAGCAAGTAAAAATATTGATCAGAAGGAGAACACACTCTCTAATGCTTGTCAGGAACTGAAACCCTAGCCAAGAAACTGCTTAAACGTATGCTCAACTTTAGATACATCATTAGTTATATTAGTTCCTAAACTTTAAATATATTTTATCTTTGTTTAATATGTAAGTGTAAACTGCATTTTTGATGGAGCAACAGTAAGCTTATGACCATGGTAGAGTTTGGGAAATTTTTACATCAGTTATCTTTAAGCAAGTTCAGTATACTCTACTATTGCCCTAGATTTATTTCAAGTATAGGTAAAATCAGCTTCATTTGAAGTGTGCATCTAAGGATGACTTCTAGATATAATTAACAAATTATGAGATAAATAAATACCTGTTCTATGTTTTTATTTCAGAGTGCATCTTCATCTGGCATTTCCTATGGCCAGGTAACTACATGTTTTCCAACATGTTTTCAATTTCCTAAGGTACTCGGGGCTAAGCAGTTATGCCCAACTTTTACCAAACAATAATTAAACTTATGAAGGGGAATAAATATGAACTGCCTTCAAATGGTTCAGTAACAATATCTGAAAATAACTTCAGCAGATGAGTTACATGTTTGATGTATGTTGTTATATCCACTTTGTTAGAAGTTATTTAGTCCTGTTTTGCACTGAAACTCAATTGTATTTACTCTGAAAATGGACACCAGTTACTTTTGTTATGATTTTCCAGAAGTCAGTGACTTTCTTTGATAGTTAATAAGAATTAAAACTATTTTTTCTGGCTTTTGCCTATGCAATTGTACATAATAGTTAATGAAATGGATAACTTCACTGCACTTTATTTTATGCTTCATTTAAAACATTTATCTTCTGATGGCATATCTCATTTTTTCCCAGATACTGTTGTAATTGTTGTTTTTTTAATTTTGAGGGGATGGGTTCTGGAGTTCGAGTTGTTTTCCTTTTTGATGAAGGTAGAAGAACTTAATTTTTTTTTTCTAGCAATAAATTATTTTTACTATAAACAAACTTCCAATTTGATGTTAAATGAAACATTTGCAGCTTTTATACAGTGCTCTGTAAAAATAACAAAATAATTGGGTGTTTAGAAAAAAAATCAAGCTAGTGAATTTATTTTGGTTGTTCATTTAGTAATTGCCAATACATTCATATTTTTCTTCAGAATCTTATTTTGTTTGGTACTTCAGGGGAATCATGTTAGCAAAACATTCTTGTGAAAAATAGTGCTGTAGTTAATGTGCCATACATTTACCTAAGCAAAATATGGATTCTGTATTCTTTACAGTCTGTCCCTTCAAGCAGCTCTGATTCCAGTAAGAAGGTAAGCTCTCCTTTTCAAAGGGAAAAACTCTTACAGTTATAACTTGGCGCGACTCCTTTTGCTTCAGTTAGGATTTTTCAGGGTTTTAACCCAGATTGATTCATATGATTTGATTGGTTTTGGTACTTAGAAACCTTATACTAACTAGCTGTGCTGTGGTGGTTCTTGCTGATAGCTGATTAAATTGTATATAAAATACATGTTTCTTTTTAAAAAGTTAGGATAGCAATTGTGATGTAATTAGCATTTTAAGTATATAGATTACATAGTTATGAGGGTTGAAAATAAGTGTGGCTCAGAGAAAGTCAGATCAATAGAATTCATTTTATTGTTGAATTTGACTCATAATTATATTTAAATGGACTCTTTCTCTCAGTCCCCAGGAAGCTCAGTGCTAATACTGTGGTGTGTTCAGTAAACACAAAGTGTACCAATTCATGTCCTCACAGATGTTTTTATTCATTTTAATTTACCATTGTTTTAAGAATTTAAAACATACTGTTCAATTATTTTTTAATACTTCTTCCTGTTCTGTACTAGAATTCTTTACTTCTGAGAGCACTAACTCTCCTTTTCCTTTTCACACCACTGGGTAATGCAAACTGCTTTCAGTTTGAAAAAAAAAAGGTGGGGAGAGCTTTAGTGAGAAAACATTAACACCTCATTGTGTCTGCATTTGGCTTAATTTTTTTTTTTTAATAAACTCAATATGAAGTCTTTTTTTTTAAGCATAATATTGAATAACGACAAAATAAATTAATCTTCTAGTTTGGGATGGAACGTTGAAGATCAAAAAGACACACAGTGTAGGCCAATGGATATGGTACAATACATGAAATCCTGCTTCTGCCTCTACAGCTGAGTCATTGTGTGGTTGGGAGCAAGTCTTTTATTTCCTTACACTCTTATGTAAACCATGTGTACATATATATTCTTCTTTGCTTGGTAATGTGTGTTAAATTTTTTTATAAAAGTGATCATCCATAGCATTATTATCAGTTTGTAAATATAGAGATTTCAGTATTCTTCATTTTTCTAACATATTTAACAATTTAATTAGACACTATGATGAGTAAACAGCTTCCTCTGATTTCTCTATAGGTAGTGGTCGTTGCCAACAGCAACCCTTTTCCACCTGTGGTAAGCAGTTTCTCTTTAAAATACTGAGAATTCTGACTCAAAAAACTTTCAAACGTCTACATTTTTAATTTTTCAGAAAGAGTCCTGGTGTATGGAGACAATTCTCTGACAGGCAGAGTTTACTCTATGTGCATAATTATCTTCAGGGAAAGCCAGTTATAAGATAGCTACAAATCTCATGCTTCTGTGATTGCTGTTAGTGCTTGCAGAGGGACTGGATTAGCTGCAGATTCCAGGTCTCTCAATGCATTCAGTCTCTGTGTTCCTGAATAGTTTCTGTTTCTATTTCAATTTTCTTCTGTAAATTCACTTCCATTCTCATTTTTAAACTATTAAATTTCCACTCTGCTTTTTTGGAACTCATACAGTCAATTAAAACTAAGTTTAGCTTTTAGGAGTTTAAAATGAGTTTGTATGATGTAATATCCTATCGGTGTTAAGTTTGTAATAGAACATGTTGTTCTAACCTGAATGAAGATTAAGATGCATTTGTTCTATGCTGTCCTTTTTATATCATCCTTTGACATTTGGTTGTGTATTGCATCCAAAAGATAAGGACCCTTTTTCCCTTTCTCTGCTGCAATGTTCTGTTTGGACAAGCCCTCATGCAAAATAAGTAAAAATTGTTTTGTTTCATTTGCAGCGTCATACCTTCCCCCAGGTAAGCATACTTTTTTCCTATTATTTCCTATTATTTCTATATTAATATTACAGTTCTTATGGAATCAAGCCAGTTTCTCAGGATGGTGTGTGCGTTAGGCTTCCACATTTGTCCCTCATGCCCCAGAATTCAGCAAACAAGTGACTGGATCAGGAACTGGATTTGCACGTGTGGTGATGTGTGTCCAATGCAGGTGACAACAAGAGAGCTGCAGTGGTGATGGTGTCTTAGCTTCACTCAGCACGTTTGGAAGAGCCAAGCTGACTGCTAGTGCAGAGAGGGCATAGCCTGTGCTCTGCTGCTCCCCATATCAGTTGTAAGAGAAGCAGATGTAAGTGTAGAAAATTATGTAGTAGGGCCAGCCTGCCTCCCCAGACTTTCAGAGCTGAGAATAAACTAGTTTAATGCTGGGTGTTAAGAACTGATACTCAGTACATCACACATATGACCTTTCCCTTTATTTTCACAAACTAAATGGTGTATATATAAACTTGGTATTTTCTGTTCAAGTGCACTGCATTTAAACAAGGCAATTAAATTTACTGTATTATGGTTTTTTTTTTCTGGACTTTATTTTCAGAGTTTGGGAAGTTCTGCTACAAGGATCATAGTACAGGTAGACATTCTTTTCTCCATTACACTCAAGTTTTAAATGAAGCTTTGTTTCAGTAAACTAAGTAATTATTCCCCTCTTAGAGAACAAGTGTGGATAATTTAGATATAACTTCAGTGGTGGAGCAGGGTGTTTTTGTGACTACAGCAAAGTTGATATCTTAATTGGTTGCTGATTAAAGACCATTGCAACTGGTTTTTTTCTGGGTCCTTTGCAATTTTAACTTACATCCAACTCCTAATGGTTTAGGCTTCCCTTCCTTCATATGCCAGTCTGTTAGACTACAGCAAATTCTCACTTTCACTGAAAGATCAGTAGCAGGTTATCCCAGATGACATTTGTCTTTTGAAAATCATTGCTTTCAAAATGTATAGCATTATGTTCTTTCATGAGTAGTGATGAATGCTGGCAGAGAAAGGAATAAAATTTCCTTGTTATTTTATTTCTAAATTTAAATGTACAGTGTTTTGATTACACAGGTTAAGAGTTTTCAATATGTAGATATAAATTAGATTTGATTCCACTCATAATCCACATACTTCATGGGAATCAAAATATTTTCTGCAGTGACTTTTCTTTTGGCTTAATTTTAACCATGGCTTCTTCAATTCATGTTTTGACAAAGCCTTTGTCAGAATTTTGTTGTACTTAGTCATGAAAATTCAGTCATAATATGAATACAAATGGATATGATTTTAACGGTTTGTATGGTACCACTGAAGGGCAGAATTATTTAAACTCACTTGAAATACCTCAATATGACACAATGATGTGTTATACAATGAATTTGCTTTAAGAACATGATATCAAAGTGTATAAATACTTTTAGCACTTTATTTTTGAAGGATCTTTATATACATTTTGTATCACATGGAGATGGTATGGCATAAGAAAAGGTCTAATGAACTCTTTATGACTTTCAAACTAGCTAGTAGATAAAAAGATGGAATTGCTTCTTGAAATGTCTTAGTACATAATTACTCTTAAAAATAAATAACTTTTTTTCCCCATGTAGGGTGGACAAAGACAGCAAAGCAGCAGCAGCAGCAGCACTTATATCACGGTAAATGAACTTAAAGGGGGCTACAAATATTCCTCTAGACTTCACTGAAACAGGGCCAGCACAACTCAGAAATAAATTATTTTCTGCATTTTGAAATTTATTTCACAGGGTGCAGATATTTCTATCTATCTGACTTTTGTTCATAAAATTATCATCTGGTATTGATGTTCAACTAATTTGTTTAGAATGCTCACAAATGTATTTTCCTGTGTGATAGGTTGAATTGAAATGACTGTATTCCACTCAGTGTGTTCTCTGAAAGGAGCACAAAGGTCATGGCACTAAGGAAAAGTGATTCTAGGCTCATTACCACACCATCAACCCCATACTGGTAGATCCTATGTATATTAGACCTCAAATTCCAAAAGACATAAAGGGTAGTTGCTTAGCAATATCAAGAATGATGAAGAATCATAATCATGGACCGATGTGCAGTGTTTTTCAGCATTACTTAAAGCCATGAAGATAAAGCTACTTCTGTGAAAAACAAGTGTGTGGATTCAACAAATACTAACATAATGTCATCATAAATTGTTGAAAACTAAAACTTGAGACTATTATAGTATGAACTCAAGTATGAAGGTTCTTCAAGACTTTCTCCTTTTGTGGAGCTGGGGGTGGGAGGGAGGCAAATGCCTGTCAATATCGTCTGTAGCACTACATGAAATCATAAAAACTTTTCAAAAGGGTAGGTATGACTTGTAAGGATCAGTTCAACAGGGAGGTCAGTACTCAACATCAAAAATGCTCAAGGTTGGCAGTCTGAACCTCAGTTTGTCATGGCTTTTGCTTTGAGTAGGACAATCTGCAGCCCAGCTGCCAGCATACTGTTCTGTCTCCTCTGTGCTTTTTGAGAACCCCACGTGCAGCTGTATTGTCAAAAATGTTATGCTCTTTAAAGAAGCCTCTTTGTCCAGGTGATAAATACCTTCTCTTTTTTTTAAAGGGTTCCCAAGGCAGCCAGTCCTATGGCCAGGTGAGGCTTTTTTGCTGAAATGCACCAAGCTTTTCTGTAGGAACCTGTCTTGTAAATGGACTTTGGGGTGTGGGTGGGTCTTTTTCCTTCTTGATGTTGCTGAGTCATCCTTGATTTTGGTTTGTACCACTGAAATACTATGAAAGAAAAAAACATAGCACAGAGGAACTTTTATTGGAACTGGGCTTTTCTGTTGCATCTTTGCTAAGAGACTACGTAGCTCTGTTTGCAAATGACTTCTTGCTTTTTTACAGGGCTACAGACCTCAAGGTGGCAGTTCCTATGGCCAGGTAAGAATCAGTCAGTCACCAGTCAGAATGCAGTCTTTGAGAAAAGCAGAGCAATGGCACAGAAAAAGCAATTAGCAATTCCTCAGAATTTGATCTTTAAACCACATTTTCTCTGAAAGTGTGTGTTTATCCATGTACTACTTATATATCTGGAATCCCAGTATGTGAAATAATGGTACTCAGCATCCTCATAAGAGCCAGGAACATGTTCTGCTCCTCATACTGCCCTGCACAGTTTTAGGAAGTAGTTACTTGCTTTTCCTAGTACAGGCTGAGTTCCTTAGCAAAAGGGAAGTAACCAAATTATGTCCTTGTCTTAGGGTGGGCCAAGTTTCTCGGGCAGCAGCAGTTCCTACGGTCAGGTAAGCAAACTAAATATTCTGTAGGAAGTTCTTCACTGATATCTCTGTGACCAGAAAGACTGGCAGATTTTGGAGACTGATATTTCCCTTGGCAATCTGCACCTCAATTTGAGTCATGGTTTTTGCTTTGAGTAGGACAATCTGCAGCCCAGCTGCCAGCATACTGTTCTGTCTCCTTTGTGCTTTTTGAGAACCCCACGTGCAGCTGTATTGTCAAAAATGTTATGCTCTGTAAAGAAACCTCTTTGTCCAGGTGATAAATACCTTCTCTTTTTTTTAAAGGGTTCCCAAGGCAGCCAGTCCTATGGCCAGGTGAGGCTTTTTTGCTGAAATGCACCAAGCTTTTCTGTAGGAACCTGTCTTGAAATGGACTTTGGGGTGTGGGTGGGACTTTTTCCTTCTTGGTGTTGCCGAGTCATCCTTGATTTTGGTTTGTACCACTGAAATACCATGAAGGAAAAAAGAACATAGTACAGAGGAACTTTTACTGGAACTGGGCTTTTCTCTCTGGTATTCTATGATTCTGTTGCATCTTTGCTAAGAGACTACGTAGCTCTGTTCGTAAATGATTTCTTGCCTTTCTTGCAGGGCTACCAGCCTCAAGGTGGCAGTTCCTATGGACAGGTAATTGTCAGTCAGAATACAGCCTTTGAGAAAGTGGAGTGCCATGGCCCTGCAAAATTTGGCCAATCTTAAAATATTGTTTTCCATTTATATTGAGTTCTTAAAAAAAACCCAAACCTCTGAATCTATTTCAAAACTTTTGTTGTGAAAATGACAGTTTTGTTTTTCATGGATATCTGCAGAAATCATAGGTTTCTGCTGCTATCTTATCTTTTCCATGGGTATGGAACTTTAAAATTTATGGTAGAAACAGTCTATTTGATGCTATTACCATTCTAGTTGACCTTCATGATACAAGACAAATTTATAGTCAATTCTTTTATGTCTCTTGCTCTCAGTACAGAGAAACAGTGCTGAGGAACTAAAGAACCCTGAGACAGGTTCTCAGCTGCATGAATATTTGGTCATAGAGCCTGTAAATGATGAATATTTACCTCCCTTTACAGTTTTTATGTAAATTAAAGCAGGTCTGAAATAGCTATGATTTTTTTTTTAAGATTTCTTTTGTCACATAGCAGAAATAAACAAGATCCTTCTAATTCTATTTGATAATGCCCCATCTTTGTAGCTGTCCCAGACAACTGTGGCACATATCTACATGTACATGAAACAACTGCTCTTTTATGAGATTATATTGAAGGCAGATTGCATCAGCAAATTATACCCACAGTAACTTTATATTATTGAGAGTTTTTCAAAAAGTACTATCGTCCCTGGCTAATTCACTTGACCTGCTAATTTTAATTGCGTTGGGTTTTTTTACATTTTATGAGTCTGTGTTTTTTTAAGATTCTTCCTTAATTTTTCAAAATTATTTTACATCTTTATTTTCCCTGGAGGAAGGGCACTGTGCAACTGGTGCCCATGAAAAATACAAAGATAGGAAATCAGTATTCACCTACTGTTAGCCATCTAAGCCCAGTGTCCAATAAATGGCAGGCAAAATAAACATAATAAGAAAATGTTGCATGCCTTTCTGGAAAACCTTCATAAAACTCGAGTCCTGTCTGAGACACATGTAAAACTACTCTACAGTCCTCATTCAATAAATACAGCTCTTCATCCCGAATAAGAAGTATCAAAATAACTCTAGTTAAGCAGCAGAGTCTGTACATTCTCTGTCTTATTCCGGCTTTTTTTACCCCATGAAGAGGCAAACTCTAGAGGGGCATCTGCTTCACAAATACAGTAATTATGAATCAATAATTCATTTCATACAGGGCTACAGACCTCAAGGTGGCAGTTCCTATGGCCAGATAAGAATCAGTCAGTCACCAGTCAGAATGCAGCCTTTGAGAAATGGAGTGCCATGGCACAGCAAAAGCACTTAGCAATCCCTCAGAATTTGATCTTTAAACCACATTTGCTCTGAAAGTGTGCATACTCACACTCAAAATTTATCCATGTGCTACTTATTTATCTGAAAACCCAGTGTGAAATCATAGCACTCAGCATCCTCATAAGAGCCAGGAATATGTTCTGCTCCTTATACTTCCCTGCACAGCTTTAGGAAGTAGTTGCTTGCTTTTCCCAATGCAGGCTGAGATCCTTAGCAAAAGGGAAGTAACCAACCATATTATGTCCTTGTCTTAGGGTGGGCCAAGTTTCTCGGGCAGCAGCAGTTCTTATGGCCAGGTAAGCAAACTAAATATTCTGTAGGAAGTTCTTCACTGATATCTCTGTGACCAGAAAGACTGGCAGATTTTGGAGACTGATATTTCCCCTGGTAGTCTGCACCTCAATTTGAGTCATGGCTTCTGCAGCCCAGCTGCCAGCATACTGTTCTGTCTCCTTTGTGCTTTTTGAGAACCCCACATGCAGCTGTATTGTCAAAAATGTTATGCTCTTTAAAGAAGCCTCTTTGTCCAGGTGATAAATACCTTCTCTTTTTTTTTAAAGGGTTCCCAAGGCAGCCAGTCCTATGGCCAGGTGAGGCTTTTGTGCTGAAATGCACCAAGCTTTTCTGTAGGAGCCTGTCTTGAAATGGACTTTGGGGTGTGGGTGGGACTTTTTCCTTCTTGGTGTTGCCAAGTCATCCTTGATTTTGGTTTGTACCACTGAAATACCATGAAGGAAAAAAGAACATAGTACAGAGGAACTTTTACTGGAACTGGGCTTTTCTCTCTGGTATTCTATGATTCTGTTGCATCTTTGCTAAGAGACTACATAGCTCTGTTTGTAAGTGACTTCTCGCCTTTCCTGCAGGGCTACCAGCCTCAAGGTGGTAGTTCCTACGGACAGGTAAGTGTCAGTCTGTCACCAGTCATTATACAGCATGTATGTGATGTTCCCATATATGTATTGAGAATTCTGTGGTTTGTTTCTTAAAATAATATAGTAAGTAGCCATTACAAATAAGAGTTGTGAATTTTTTTCATGAGGCTGGCAATTATAGGCACACTGAAACAGCTGTTTCCCATGTAGAAAGGAGTGCATGTAGGTGTCAGCTTTCTGATGCACTATAGTCTTAACATACACAAATACTTTACCAGAAAATTCACAGTTGAATGTAGAGGGATGTAGATGCCCAACCTTTTAAGCAGTCAAGCATCTAAAGCACTTGAAAATTTGTTTCTGTATTTGAAATGGAGAAAATGAATGAAAATGAATATTTGGATTACAGGCTGCTCTTCTTTTTTTCCCAAGCAGGGTGGATCTTCAAGTGGCAGCAGCGGTTGTGGACAAGTAAGTCCCTTTTTCTCCAAACTATTTGAAAACTAGACCCAGCTTTCTTTCCAGTAGTGACACATTTTTCAACAAGTTCTATAATGTTTGTTAGTTTCAATCAATTGTTTTGATTGTTACATGGATTTATCTAGCACAGAGATCAAGGAAGGCTGATATTGTTTGTCATTGTAACTCGTATGAAATGCTTCTCCCATTTAGAGTTACACACTGAAGACAGAAATCTCTCTACTTAATAAACAGATAAAATATTTCCTTGGGAATTTTTGGATGTTGCTCCATTTATTTTCTATAGAAAAAAATAGGATTAGAGAGTGGCTCCTGTGGAACAGGAATTTAATTAGTAGTTTTCATCCTAATTCCATTTCAACTTGTGTATGCCTACAACAGTAAAGACAATGTCTTCAGTGATGAGATCCCAGATGAACGGATCGTGAATGAGGTCATGTAGTAAACCTATGGTTAAATAAATATATTGAGGAAAGCAACAAGAATTAAATAGAGGTATAAATAAAGACATTTTCACAAGTATTTAGCAGAAATATTAGGACTGGTGTAAGTTAAGCACGAATGGAAATGCATGGAAAAGCATCATAAGAAGCAATACAACATGGACACAGATAACAACAATCAAACTGATAAACACTGAAAAATGTGTTCCTTCGACCTAAGCTGTGTCACAGGTGACAGAGCTCTTGACTTATCTGTGCTGTGATAATGGGAGTGCGACAGCCAGGGTAGAACTCTTTCTGTATACTGTTTCTCATCCTGTTATCCCAACAGGAAGACTGGCTGTAGCCAAAATATACCCAAAACGGGAAATAAAATGCATTGAGCAGCAGCCTTGCCTAGCATCTATAGTGGGTGAATCTAGCAAGTGATAGATGGTCACACTGAGATAAACGGTCACAACAGAGATAGATAGTCACCCATCAGTAACAATTGATTCCAAAAAAACTCCACCAACAGTTAATCTTTACCAACCAAGAGGAACTAGGGTGATACAGAGAGACATCCATTGCCAGCCTATCTTTCTTTCCTTGTGCCTCACAAGAACTCCTCCTTTGATCACCTGCATGCATGTGTCTTGATGCTTCTTAGTATGTGGGTATGGGAGTGACAGAAGGTAAAGCCACACATTTAAAGGATTAAATAAAATTAAACTCACCCTCTGCAAAGTTTTATGGTGAGTTTTGTTACATTAATTCTCACAGAAGAAATTTTAAGAAAGCAAATTACTTTGAAAGAAAAATGAAGATTTGGGCATTTACCTTTTTGTTTATTTTTTTTAATAGGGTGTTTCATATGATAGCAATCCCTGCCACCAGGTAAATACTCTTTCTCCTCTTATTTTAAGATGCATCCAAAATTAGTTTTGCCACTAACTCAATTAGCAACAACTTCAGATTCATGTGGCACAAATCTATATAATTTTAAAAGTTAGGAGATGAGAACTCACCATTTTCCTGTACACAGGAGTATCACGGGGGCTTTGGAGTCTTTTTCCCCCCTTTTTCCTAGGATTATGCCTGTGAAATGTCTCGCTTTATAGGACATTAAGGCCAGATTCTGGAAAGAAGAACTCTGCTGCAGAGTTGCTGAAGTGGCACAACTTAAATCAGGGCTGGAGCTCACCAGCCTCTCTGTGGACTTTCCTGTCAAAAGTCAGAAAATACTTTAGGACTGCCACTTGGGGTTCCTGGAACAAACTGGCTTAAGAATTCATTCAGTTTTTGCAGGGAACTAGAGACAGCTACATGTGTATTTGTTCCAAGTTCAATGTTGGAACTGTAAAAACCACTATCCTAAAGGGTGTCAGCTATATTTAAAGAAGTAATCTCTGTCATGTTGAAAATTAGTAAGAAAACAGCAATAGATGATTTCTTTCTTATTTTTGATACTTCTTTTGTTACTGAGTTTTCACAAGGAATAGAAAAATGAGATAAAATAATTGTATCAATAAATACTGTGCTTTATAAATATATACTATATTTATAAATATAAAAACAACATAGATGTTGCTAAAATATATTAATATGATTTGGTATAGTGTATACAATGCACCGTATTTAATACATTGCTATAACTTGAAAGAATAATATATTAAATAGGTATGTAATTGTTTTATAATAGCATTTCAATTTTTTCTTTGTAAAGAGGAACTATTCCTTTGTAAGACTAAAGAAGGTGCTTAAATTTTGTTCTAAAATCTGCTAGAACATTGAAAGATAATACTTTTTATTTCATTTTCCTTTACCTCTTCTGAATGAAGCCTCAGTCCGATTTTAGTGAATGGCAAATATCCCACTCACTTCAATAGCTCAGGATTTCACTGTTCTTATTATGCACTTTTGTCACTAATACTTCCAAAAATGTCTTTTCTGATTACACTTGGAGAAGTTACATTTCTCTTCTAAAGGGGGCACGTTGAAACATACTGAGTGTTTTATTTAAAACCTATTCCTGGAGGCCCTGATACTTCACAGCTCACAGCTTTCTGTGTAATAATGCTACCAGGGGAATTTTTCATATATTTCTCATCTAATATTTACCTTTGCACTATTGGCAATCTGTGCTTACTGCATTAGAAATTATATCCATATTGCATATCTACCTTTTCTTCTTACTCTTCCTAAGCAAGTATCATAACTTTCATTAAAAATATTCCATATACAAACAGCAAGTGTCTAAAGCATGCATAATTTTTTGTCTGATTTACAGGGTGGATCACAGGGTGGATCACAGGGTAGTCAGGTAGGCAGCTCTTTATTATCCATTGATAAAAAGTTTTTAAGCATTTCTAATTCAGCGTATAGTTTTCTTGCTTATGAGGGTATAGACACTTGCGGGGTCTCCCCATCTCCAGCCTGTTACTCTTTCCCTGCAAACATACTTTTTATCAGCCCTGAAATTCTACTTACATAGAAAGAACTCAGTGCCCTAAGACAGCTCTGTGCATTCTGATAAAATTAAGCTCTCCAGAATTTTAACTCTTGCTGTTTTGTTTTCACAGGGTGGATCATACTCACAAAACTATGGTGGTAGCCAAGTAAGTACTAGATTATTATTGTCTCCCCCTGGGGTTTTATGAGCTTTTACTTCCATGATGGTTGATCAGTATCCAATCTGCAATATTGTAATATTCATTCTAATTATTTTTTGTTGTTGTTTCTTAGCAGAGTGGATCATCATCCTCACAAAATTATGGTAGCAACCAGGTAGGTAGACCTTGATTTTCTCTTGGTAAGAATTCTTATCATATTTGATAAGTTATCCAAGTATCTTAAAAGAAATCCTAGGCAATTGTTTATTCCAGCTTTACAGTCCTTGAAGAAAATCACAGTTTCTTCTGAAGTAGAGTTTATATTTTTTTTGTAGGATGGATCCTACTCACAAAACTATGGTGGTGGCCAAGTAAGTAGTATTCTATTTCCCTACTTACACATCACTTCATATAAGCTTTAGTGTCTGCTCAAAATCGGGTTTCTACATCCTGATTTTGTTTGTTTTAAAGGGTGGATCATCCTCCTCAGACACCTATTATGATAATCAGGTAACTAGTTCTTTCTTTCTCCTAGTTACACATTATTTGTAGTCCCTGCATCATCTTTCTCAAAGATGTAATAAAACATAATTTTTTCTCTGCTCTTCGTGTTTTGGGTTGGGTTTGGGTGTTTTTTTCTTTACTGAAGATTGGAACATTCCCTGTAAGCAACTATTGCAGCTATGGATTTGGCTCCTTTTTTTTTTTTCCTTACATAGATCTTAATTTAATTTAACTCAGCTTTTCCTTTGCATAAGCATCTCTTCTGTCTTGCAGAGTACAGTATCAAAGTGTATTGCTAACAACCCATTTTGTGAGGAAATAACTGGTATCTGCTGTTTTTCTAGGATTCACAATATTCCTCAGATGATAATCCCAATGCTTGTGATGATGTGAGTATGTTTTCTCTAATATATTTTCATCACAACATTTTTTGTGTAGATGAGAAAATATTGCACTGCTAGATGCAGTCTTTTGAGCAGAATGATACAGAAAGAATGCCGAGTTCCCACACTAATAGCTGTTTCAGCAACTGCATTTTTCTTGGTGAAAGTTGTCAAATATGTAATTACAGATATGGTTTGTGTTTTTAAATGCATTTAACTTGATAAAATGAAATATGGATAAAAGTATTTCAATGGCTTTGCAGTAACAGAAGATTTTCCCCAAAAGTAAAGATAACTTTTACAGTAATTTTCAAAAAAAAAAGAAAATCTAAAAGAAAATATTTAAATACATACAATGAATGAAAGAAGAAATTATGGATATTCCACTGCTTTTCATGTTGCACTTCTACCAATCTAAAGCTGCTATTAAAATGTTTTTCAGATTGTAATTATAGGATTTCAAACTAATTTAGACAAGGCTGTGGAGAATGTGAGCAACAAGTGGAATATGTCCATATGCTGTTTCGGAAAAAATTAGTTTTCTGTAAGCTTACTGTATTTAAATAATTCTTTAAAAAGGGAATAATTTATTCTTTTCCAGAATGACACTACTTACAGTGCCAAGAGTCGGGTAAGTACTTTGTTTCTTCTGTAATACTCAAGTTCTTATGATTAATGACAGTGTTAGTAACTGAACACTTCTGTATTAGACCCATGGACTTCTAACTGTAGTGTATGATTGCTTTATAATACCCTTCAAAAAGTTAATTATTTCTCTGTACTCAAGGTTGTTGCACAATTATTAAAAACTGCACAATACAGAATATATACTGATATATTTTCTTCATAGTACATGCACTTTGACTGTGTAGTTTTTTCGGGAATTAACCACCTATGTACATGAGGCATGTACCTTACCTCAAGCTTTTTTCACCTGTTCAAATTTAAACTCTCTTTTATGCTATTGCTGTAAAGTAACATTTGTCCCTGGTTATACTCTCTCTGTCAAGACTTTCCATCTGTCCTACAAGCAGAAACTGTGATTAACATGGATAGATTGTGACCAAGCAAATATATTGTTGTGTAAATAAATTACATTTTCCCCTACTTTTTTCAGTTCATAGAAAAGCTTTTTTTATGTCACAGCCTTCTTTTGTTTTACTGCCATCTAGAGTAACCTCCTGTCATCAGCTACTTGCCTTCTCTTCAGTTGTCAGCCATACACTGTACTGCTTCATTGTTTTCCCCATTTTTCTCTCTACTACTTTAGTACTGCACCAAACATGTATTCTAGGAAGTAAGGACGTCTTCTGAAACATCCTTTGTTTTCACTTAAATTTACCTTGAATGCAAAAGGTTCTGAAAAAAAAATCCTTCAGCAGCAAGCCTTGTTTAGGGGCCTCATCACTTCCTCCATACAAAAGGTGCTAGTATTCCCTTGGTTATAACAAAGCATAGGGAATTCTAAAAAAAAAAAACCAAACAAACAAGCAAACAAAAACAAAACAAAAACACCAAGAAAACCTTAACCATAAAAGAGTAATTATACATGTTGTTCTCCAAACCATAATGGTTTAGCTGAGGGAGACTCCCCTGGGCAGGAACTTCTGACCGAAGAGCGATAAAGGGAAAACAAACAAAGAATATGCTTTTTAAGACCCTTAATGATATTAAAATGAAATCTCCAGACATTTTCCTTTTCCAGAATATGTGACCTTGACAAGTAGTAGATTTTTGCTAAAGTACTTAGTGCAGATAACTCCACCTCTAAAGTAGTAACAATCTTTTGGCTCCTTTACAGGGTTCTGGTTGTGCAAAGAAGAAAGTTCTTGTTGCCCGAGTAAGTAACTTTTTTTTCTTTTCTTTTCTGACTGCTTGTAGGATTTTAGCCCTAACTTGTCCTAATTATGCCTAATTTTTCTGTAAATATGTTACCCTAATTAATATTCTTCTATTTAAGGAAAAATTAAAATAAAGTTACTTAACTATTTGCTCTTTGCACGAATTTCTTTAAAGGAAATATATAGATGAAAAAAAGACATGCAAATCATGCTTTGAAGTGGAAGGCAGCTTAAATTCCTGCTTTTCATTAAGAACAGAGTTGGTCCAAGCTAAAGTTCAAATTAAATGAGTATCATACAAAGGACAGCTAAAATTTTAGCTGAAAAGAGATAGAATAATGAAGTAAGAAAGAATAATATTTGGTAATTTACTGTGCTCAACAGGCTGTGGAGGGGATACGGGTATGTGTATTGTATAGCTTCAAGTCTGACTCAGCAGTAGCCTATAAAAATTATGTGCAAATAACCTTTTATTTTATAATAAGCCATTCCTACTCAATGTATATAATAAAGGGTCTGGAGCTGTTTTAAATAAATACAGGGGGGAAAAAAAGAAGGTCTATCACAGATCAGAGAGTTTTAATCTCCTAATAGCAAATATTCCTGTTTTTTACAGGATACATCACACACTTTAAGCAGAAGAGCCTATGATGTACAGGTAAACCATTCTCGTCACCTTTTCTGAACTACTGCTGGTGTTATAGCTCCTTGCTGTATTACCTACAAAAAGAAGGATCTAGTTTCCACAACAGAGAATTCTGTTTAGGGTTAGGTAGTTCTCTCCCAATAGCACTATATTACCCTTACTGAAAAATGTGTCATTTTTTATTTCTTCGCAGAATGCATCTTCTCCTTCAAACAGCAGCCACGCTGACGGCCAGGTAATAACATAGTGTCAGGTGCATGATACCATTGCAAGGAGCTTTCTGATAAATTATAATTCATTCTGAAAGTTAGGTTCCACTAATCCTTCTGTGCTGAAGGATGCTATTTTGAATTGGCAGCATTTTCCCTATAATGTTTTAACTTTGCACAGTTGTAAATGGGCCCAGAATACAGAGTCTGTTCTGTTCCTTCTCTCCATTAAGCAGGTAACCATCACAGGTGTTTCTTTACGTAACATTTTGTAAAAGTCATTTGCAAAACACAAAAAAAAAAGGTTTAGAATCTTTTTTTTTGGAAACAGTCCTGCTCTAGTGATGGTAATGGCCAGATATATAATTTTTTCATTTTAAATTTGGTAAGTAGGTACATCTTAGGGGTTAGGTACTTCTGTTACAAAAGTAGAACCAACTTTCATATTCTGTAGGATCGTGTACTGATGCAGCACTGTATATGTTAGAGAATTTTGTGAAATTTAAATGATCCAGAGTGGCACTTGATTCTGTTTTTATTAAAGCATCAGCTTCCCAGAGATCCTGAATCCTGCTACATGCCACATTATGCAGATTTAACACTAGCATAGTCTTCTGTCTCGAGAGAGTTTGCAATCTAATTCAACAGTGCAGTCAGATTTATAAGCTCCAGAAAATAACTGTTTTCTTAATTAGTTTTCCTGATACCCATTCCCTGTGTATGGTATCATTAATTAGATTTCATCCAAATCTATGTTTTCACAATAATTCAACAGATAGTGCTTGTTCATGCAGGAAAGTAGTAGAAAGAGTTTGTCACCTTACTTCTCACTACATAATTTTATAATTCAGATTCTGATAAAATGCTTTGATAAAATGTAATTGTTTTCTTCAAAGGGTGGATCATTTATTGCAACCAGTGGTGGATCAAGTAATCAGGTCAGGATTGTCTTTATTTTTAACTAGTCTTGTCCAGATTGCTTCCTGGTAATTAAACTAATTAAATTCAGGAATCAGAGTTTAAGTGAAGTACCTTTGCATGGAGGATTGGTCATGTTATGCATTAAATTGTAAATGAAGTGACTGTTCAGATTAAATTTATCAGAAATGGCTCTCTGAAGTCACTTTTCAACACTGTTTCAATTTCATGTATGTTTTATTGGTGAGAGCACAATGGTGATTCTCTGCACTCTTGGACTACTTGATACTTCTGTCTTGCTGAGCATCTGTCCCTGAGACACAGCACCAAGAGATGTACTATCAGTCCAACTTTCAAAGCAAATGTTAACTATTCAGAGCTAAACTCATTTGTTCTAGGTGTAGGAAAGGTCACAGCTACTCTGTAACCCCACAGTCTTTCTTCCCCTAAACAGTTTCACATCTGAAATAAGAATTTATTTTAAATTTCCACAAAGCAATGATTGTTTCCTTTTTTAAAAATTTATAGGGTGGTTGCATTTGTCCTGATGGAAGCAGTGGTCATAGACAGGTAATTATTTTTTTGAGTTTATACTTCGATCTACATAATGGAGTATCTTGAATTAATCATCTAGTAAATATGGACACCTGGTTAACATTAAACATTAATATTCATTTCCTTAGTATGGGTAAACTACATACAATGAAACGGAAGAATGAATTCCACTTTACTTGACCTGCATAGTTACTATTCAGCCACTAACTTCCTGTACCTGTACTTGGTGATCCAGATGCTCTGTCACTTGACTGTTATGTGCTAATTATTCATTACTTTCAAAAAACAGTCATTATCCCTTATAGTAACCACAGAATTTAATTTAATCAATTTAATTGCATCCAGGTTAGTTTCCTTGTCTTTCTAACTGGTGCAATAAAATACTGTGACTAAAACATCAAAATCTGTAAATGTTTCAAAATTTAGTTTCTTAAATCAACATTTAAACTGTTCTTTCCCATAAAGACAATCACTGCAATTTCATTGTCACTTGCACTGGATAAACTTTTCTCTTAGGCAATGTCCCTGTGCTGGGAAAAAGGCCAAGGAATGTGCTTACCTAGACATTATAGTGTAGTTTTACCAGGCTTCTGGCTTCACCTGGCAAAGACAGATGAACTTGCATTTTAAAGTCACCTTTCTTCTACCGGAATACTTATTGTGAACCTTTTACTGAAGCTGTATTTCCATAAAACCATTTGAATGGTGTAATATTTTTTTTTAGTTTTCAATTTCAATGGGAATTATTTTGCGGATTATCCTTTCTATTTAAAACCCCCCATGCTATTTAAACAAACTGACAGTATAAAAAAATTACTGCTTTCTGGACTTAACTTCATTAAGTTAAAATAAAGAGCAGTCATTTTGGTAAGGTAGAATACCACCTCTTTCACCTAATTGAGGGTGAGCAGTAATCATGACCTGTATGTTTTAAAATATAAACTAGTCTATTTAAGATAACTACTATTGAAACCTAATTGAGGAAAAACCTTTATTTGTCATGTGATTGTAAATCTATATCAACAAATCCATTTACAAGGAAAAAGGTGGGCATCTTTATGCAAGTTTTCATTCTGATGAGCCCTTTTCTTTACATGCTTTAATTGTTGCAAAAAAGGACTTAGTTTGTAACAGGAATCCACCACATCTTGATTGGGGAGATGAGAGTGTATGTATTTAGTTGCTATCAACAAAAATTTTCAACATGAAGAAAAGACACCGAAATTGGATACAGTAGAAAATCAACTCTCAGTGCAGATGTGTCCACTTTGATTCACAAGAGATTGTTTTCCAGTTTGCAATTTTATCAACTGATCAAATTAATTTATGATGAACTAGATAGCAATAGAATTGATCTTTGCTTTCATCCAACAGTAAAATCCAGCAATCTTTGCAAGGAATAGATTGAATTAAAAAACAGAGCTATCTTCATTTTCTGTCCAGGGCCCTCTACATGTGGCAGCTACAGTGCCTTAGATTAGCATGCAAACAGATTAGCTGTGATAGGTAGGTACATTCTTCTGAATAAAAAAGCAAGCTATAGGTAGATGTACATGTACAAATAAACCACCATTCATAAATCTTACATAAAAGAGTTATCTACTTCCTTGAAGATTCTTCAGCACAGGAGGAAAATTCCTGCAAAAAGTTTTTTCAAAGAAAAATGGTTTTCCTTACGTGGATCCTGGATCCCCAAATGTCTCACACTGCAATTATTCTGCTTTTTCTCTAAGTTTCATCTAAAGGCAAGACCTTAGTCTACTGCTCTGAGGAAGCAGTCTAACCATAGAATAATACTTTCCCTGTTCTGTATAAGAAGGGGATGTGACAGTAATAGTGGATGCTATGGACTGGTAAATAGTCTTCTCTCATAAGTGGTGAGCTCTCCTAAACACTATTTACACTTTGGAAGTTCAGTGTTCTGGCAATTTTTAAAAAGACCATCATTATCATGATCATCTATAACAACAGTCTGCAAGGCATGACATTAGATTCTGTGATTAGAAAGAGTAAAATTAAATGTTACTGCTACTTTCAGATCTTTTAACCTGAAGAGAAAAAATCAGAACCTGCTAAAGTTTTCCTGATGTCTAACAATGCCCCCCCAGCATTCTCTTTTAATGTTTGCGGTAATGTTGTCCTCAAAAGCTTTATTTGAAAGAACAGAAATTCAGAATGGACTCATGTAAATGTCTGCTTGCAAGAAAATAGCTAGTCTATGTTTTCATTTCAGGGAGCCCCAGGTTATCCACACAGCACATATTCTGGTAACCAGGTAAACATTCAGATAAAATGCCCTATTCAGAAGCTCCATCCAAAACCTTCCCTTGAAGGAGCAGCCAAATATAAACCAGTAACCCATTCTGTCTTCTGCACAGGGAGGGCCTTTCTTCTATCCCGGAGGATCCTATGGACAGGTAGTAGTTCTTCCTTCCCTACCAGGATAACACAGACTCCCTCCTCCTGGCTCCATCACGCCCAGTATTGTGGGTGCTATGACATGCCATAATTAGAGTGTTGTCCCTTAGAGCAGAAAACTTAACCCTGGTGTAAGCTAGAGGTGTGAAGTTTGACAGAGAACAGTACAGACTGGTATCTGCAGCTTCCTTACAGAATACAAATTTCAGCAGGCTAAGAAAGTTGCCACCAGAAGATTTCTTCTAGTTTAACAGTACCTGTATTCAGGTACATAGAAATTAGCTCAAAATTGGGAGAAAGAGTGTAAAGAGAGAACTGGATAGGCAGGTATTTAAACTCTTGTCTGTGAGAAAATAACTGGTTTGTGTTTTTCTTCTAGGGCGGCCCAGGTTCTTCCCACAGTTCTTACTCCGGTAACCAGGTAAATATTCGGGCCACTGTGTCTTCGCAGGAGCAGTGTAAAAGTATTCCTTGAGAGAACAATTCAAACCAGTAAATTTCTGTGTTTTCTGTGCAGGGAGGGTCTTCCTACTATCCTGGTGGATCTTATGGACAGGTAGGTGTTCTTTGTAGAGATAACAGAGTTCTTTTATATTCATTCTTATGTTCCCTGTGTAGTGGCTGTTGTGAAATATAACACCCAAGAAATGAATCAGCTGTTTGTAACTTACAACATGAAATCTGTCAGAGGAAAAGACTAAACTGTATTTACAACTTTCATGGAAGAATCTTTCATCCAAATAAGAAAATCGGTGATAAAAAGTTCCTTCTGGTTTAACAGTATTGACCTAGAGTGAGAGTTGGGTACATTGGTATTTACACCATCCTGTTTGCAAGAAAATAGCTAGTCTGTGTTTTCATTTCAGGGAGCCCCAGGTTATCCACACAGCACATATTCTGGTAACCAGGTAAACATTCAGATAAAATGCCCTATTCAGAAGCTCCATCCAAAACCTTCCCTTGAAGGAGTAGCCAAATATAAACCAGTAACCCATTCTGTCTTCTGCACAGGGAGGGCCTTTCTTCTATCCCAGAGGATCCTATGGACAGGTAGTAGTTCTTCCTCCCTTACCAGGATAACACAGACTCCCTCCTCCTGGCTCCATCACGCCCAGTATTGTGGGTGCTATGACATGCCATAATTAGAGACCTGACTGTTGTCCCTTAGAGCAGAAAGCTTAACCCTGGTGTAAGCTAGAGGTGTGAAGTTTGACAGAGAACAGTACAGACTGGTATCTGCAGCTTCCTTACAGAATACAAATTTCAGCAGGCTAAGAAAGTTGCCACTAGAAGATTTCTTCTAGTTTAACAGTAATGGTCTTGAATTTTATTCAGGTACATAGAAATTAGCTCAAAATTGGGAGAAAGAGTGTAAAGAGAGAACTGGATAGGCAGGTATTTAAACTCTTGTCTGTGAGAAAATAGCTGGTTTGTGTTTTTCTTCTAGGGCGGCCCAGGTTCTTCCCACAGTTCTTACTCTGGTAACCAGGTAAATATTCGGGTCACTGTGTCTTCGCAGGAGCAGTGTAAAAGTATTCCTTGAGAGAACAATTCAAACCAGTAAATTTCTGTGTTTTCTGTGCAGGGAGGGTCTTCCTACTATCCTGGTGGATCTTATGGACAGGTAGGCATTCTTTCTTGTTTGTAGAGATAACAGAGTTCTTTTATTTTCATTCCTATTCTGTGTATCAAAGACAGAAAACACTTTCTTGAGGGAACCAAATTAATCAACTTTTTTTTATTTTCTTTACAGGGAGGGTCTTCTGTTTATGATGGTAGCAGTGAATCCTATGGTCAGGTAAATACTCTTTTTTTCTCTTTGTATAGAGGGTGCTGGGGGCAAATGGCCTGGGTCAAATATACAGCTATATTCTGTATTTTGGCTCTTGCTATATTTTAATGAAAGTGGGCTTTTTCTTTGAGGAGTGAGTGAATTTGTATATACTTCCAGGCTACTTAGTTAGAAGTTTACAAGGGAGTAAAAAGTGGGGTGCCTCCAATCTTGAAGGTTTGTTCTTGTCAACAATGCTAGCTTTGAATCACCTGCAAGATGAAGGTCTTTTCAAAAGTGGAATTAGAATTTGAGTTAAAAAATATTTTAAGTTAGTGTTTTACAGGGACATAATTATGAGTTGCTCAAGAGCCATTCTTATAACTAGGTAAATAATCATACTTTTTAAATCTTCCCAGAAGGAGATCCCTACAGTTAGTGTCCAAAAAAAAAGTCTGTTCCAAATATGAGAATTATTCTGTTTGCAGTATGAGAATTGTTTATGTTTTCTGAACAGGGTGGATCTTCCGCGTATAGTGGTGCTGAGTCCTATGGCCAGGTAATTGTTATTTGTCTCCTATGCCAAAAGCTTAAGATTGCTCTGTTGGTTCTTATGTGCACTGGGTTCTAGGTTTCAGTTATTTTTAAGTGACCATGACCACAGAAATGCCATTTTATCTTTTGGTCCTCTTTAATTCACCCTTTTACAACTCAAATGGAGGGAAGCCCCCTAACTGTGCCCTGTGACTGTTCAATGCTTTAACTACTTTATTGTTTATGCATTAGCTCATTCAAAAGGAAAACATTTTGTGCATTTACTTTTCTTATGCAGAACCTGTTGAAAGTATAGATAATGGGATTTCTGAATATAAAGAATTATTAACTTTGCAAATGAACTTTATCTAAAATTTTTCCTTATAAAAATGTATGTTTGCAAGGAGGGCTTTTTCCCCCAACCTCTTCTGTTTAAGCAACAGGTGAAGTTACATATTTTTTTCTTTTCCTGCACATTCGCTGCTTTAGGTAAAATTGAAGATTCTAAGCGGTTTGTTATTTTTATTCTTTTATTTTATATTCTCCACAATTTAGAACATGTGAGAGTCCTTTTTATATGAAAGTAAATGTTTTTTCATTATTTTACAGGATTCACCTTCCCTAGGAGGCAGTGAAACTGCTGAGAGTGTAAGTATTTCTTCTCAACTATATCAATATCTTAATTCACTACCTCTTAAAGTATCTATTTCCTTACATGGACCTTTACTTTAACTCGTAATCTTATCTCCAAGAACTCCTTCACACTACATTCTAATCATCTGTTGTTCATCATTTTCTACAGTAACTTCTTTGAAATTGCATTTTTTCTACAGAGAATGGAAAATGTAGATCTAAATTATGTCATGCTATTGTGCTATGTATGATAAGGACTTTGCAAATTAAAATTGCAGTTACAACAGTTCTGACTTGTAAAAATCATACATTTTAATTGGTTATTAGAAGTAGCAATTACAAAGGAAACTCTTTATTTCACAGTTTCCATCAAAATGCAATATTATTATGTGACTACTTCCCTCTCCTTCTGTCTCCAATTCACACTGCACTTCATTTGTGTTTTTCCAATGCCAGACGTATCAGATTCAAGTTCCTTCATCTATATATTACATAGGAATGGTCTGGTTTTGTGTAGTGTGGTGAAAACTGCCTGCTTTTCTGTTTAAGAAGATGCCTTTTCTCCTGACTAAAGTATATTTCCTATAAATTCTGTTGAAGCTGTTTATAAAACTTTCCAAGTCTCCGTCTTGAGTAATTGACTGTACTTTAAATGGATTTTCAGTAAGTCTGGTCCTGGTTAGTAGGAAATTTTTCTCTGCAAATAATTATAAATTCAGCTGTGCTCTTCAGCCACAGGTATACTGGGTCATTAGTTTCAGTGTAGTTTCTGTACCAAAATCTTCTTACAGATATTCAAGAAAGCTAAAATATGATACTACAGAGGGCCCAAAAAGCCCTCTGAAAGAAAGTAAGGTATAAAAACATTGGTGTGTACCACTGAGGTCTACAAGAACCAAGACAGCTGATGCTTTGCTCTGTAACATTCTGGAGGAAATAAAATTGAGATGTGATCTCATTCCTTTATATCACTATGTCAGAATTCACCTTTCAAATTAAAGAAATGCCATTCACCAGAAATGAGCAGAGAAAGAACTTGTGGGCTGCTTATCCTATAGCCTACATCTTTAACCTTCCCAACAAACAGTATTTTTCTTTGCCTTCCACCCTTGCTCAGAAAAAAGTAGTAATATTTGCCATTGCAATAATTCAATTCTAATGTTTTTTAGGATTCCTCCTCACCAGCTGGTAGCCGCCAGAGTGAACGGGTAAGTGCTCCTTCCTTGTATATTGCCAGGGTGTCTGTCCCAGGGCTTGGCAACTGCCAGACACCTAAATCCTGTGTGGAAACTGGTGTGGCAGCTTCCAGTGTGGGATAGAAAGTCCTCAAGCACAGAGGGAATGAGGATATGGCTGAAGAGTCAAAGTACTGCTAGGAACCCCAATCAGTGCTGAGGTGTGCTCTTAAATATCAAACTCACATCACAAATGTGATACCACAATTTATTGTTCCAGTTCCTGTGCTTTTTAAATCACTGCTTAACTGCAAAGGGCTTCAATACCATGATTTTTGCAGCATTTATTTCAAGTGCAACCCTTTGCTTTGTTGTGCTATGTGAGGCTTTCCATTTTTATGCCATTTTTACATGGCACCCGTTGTATTTATTCTAATGAGTATTAAGTAACACAGACTGAGAAATTATTTTGTTGGAGATATAGTAATTCTTTATTTGTTGTATCCCAAAGAATATCTTCATCAAAAGAGGAATTATCAATAGTCATAAAGAGGCATGTACTGTTTTATACAGAAAGACAGATTTTAATTTTTGTTCTTGAACAAGAGAAAATTAAGGAAGGTGGAGAAGCAAGGAATGTTTAGCTTCCACCCTGATCTTTCCAGGTTTTGGTTTTTGGTTTTTTCATGTAATTTCAATACATTTTTCCAGGATTTTTATTCCCCAGGAGGCAGCCAGTCAGGTGGACATGTAAGCATCTATTTTATTCATTATTTGCAGTTCCCTTCCAAAATGGCTCTACTATTTAAAAATTATCCAAATGAGTAAAGTGTACCAAGCCATTCATTTCCTAGAATTTCCCATGACATCTGGCATCATGTCTTGTGAAATCAAATGGCAAGCTGTTTGGAAAAAAATTAATAATTGTGTGTCTTCAACATCAGTCTTGTTTTCCAGAAGCCATTTTAAACAAAAATAAATTGCATCTGCTTTTTATAGGGATCATCTTCTCAAGGTGGTGGCTACTCGAGTGGACAGGTAAATACTAAATCTTTGTATTTTTGTCCTGAAGTATCTATTATACAAAAGTTTGAGGCCTCTTATTACTGCAATTTTTTATCTGTGAACAAGATTGATTCATTCTTCATTATATATCTCTGTGTAAAAGTCCAAGTGTAAGCAGAGTGGCCAAAATACAATTCCTTATCTTAACGGATGTTCTAACATCAGGAAAAAATAAAGTAATAAATATTTAGTCTTAATTTGTATTTTCAAAACAAAAAATAAGCAATTTTAATTTTTTTTTCAGGACTCGTCGTCATCTGGAAGTAGCCAGTATGGTGGGCAGGTGGGAAATTTTTCATTGTTGTTATTGTGAGCTTTTTTCCCCCCCCAGTGTACATATTTCCAGAAAGTATTGCCAGATTGGTAATACCTAACTTTCCAGGCTACTTTGTGGTTTATTTTAGCTTCATTAATTTTTCCATAGATAAAATTTGGTTCTTAATCAGATAGATCTTTTCAAATGTAGTTAAAAGAGTAAAAGACAATACATTGTAATCAAATGCACATGTCAAAATTTAAAGAAAAAATTTTAAATGAGAATATAACATTTACAGGGTTCATCTTCTTCAGGAGGCAGCCAGCCTGGTGGACAGGTATGATTTTCTTGCTCCACAGTCTTCAGTTGTGTTAGTGTCAGGCACTCACAATTATCTTTTCATATCTTTCCTTCACCAGAACTGTTTTCCTTCACCACTGTTCTTTTTGCCCAAAGCCTCAGCAACACGTTTTCTTTTGCCATGTCATTTGGACATTCTGCAAGCCAGAGTAGCCAGTAGTAACTGGCTGACAGTTGTATCTGAGCTTCTGTACCTGCTTTGGTGCTAAACATTTTTCTTCTTACACATCTCATGCAGATTGAATGTAGAAAGTGAGACAGTGAATGGTGAACTCCTGGCCACCTCTCAGTTAGTTTTATCAGAGTAGAAATCACCTGTTTTCTGTATCATCTGTAGCAGGACATAGTACTGCATGTACTCCAGGTGCTCTGGACTCTCTAGGAAAAAAAATTGCTTTCTGTAGTACTACTCGGAATTTTTTTTTCTTCCTTCTGGTGAGTAAGGTTTTTAAGGTAAAGACTGTATATAAGAAAATTTGAAGATAACAAAATTAGCATTTTGTTGCTCCATCAGAGCAGTAAGTGCAGAAATAGTTGCATAGGATGAAATAAATTCATTTCTAGAAGTCGGGCAGTTAAGAATGTATCTTTATGGTTTGCACGCCTGGGATGGTAGAAGTAATTTGAGTTGGCTCTGGAGTCTATTTCAGTCCTGTGCTCTTGATATCTTAAATACTTTCTGTATTCTTTACAGGGTGCATGTGATTGTTCTGGGGGAAGTTCTGTAAGTGCTACTTTTTCACTATACATTTTCTTTTACTAAACTATTTAACTGGAAAATTATCTATTATTTTTAACTTACTTTAATGTACTCTTAATTTTATATTCATTGTTCCTTTGGTGACTTAGATGTTTCTGATATGGTAGGGGTTATTTCTCATTATGCCAAGATGAAGAATTCAGCATTATTGAATCATCAAATCATTTAGGTTGGAAAATGCCTCGAGTTCAACCATTAACTCAGTACTGCCAAGGCCACCACTAAACCATGTTCCTAAGTGCCACATGTACACATCTTTTAAATATATCCAGGTGTGGTGACTCAACCCCTTCCCTGAGCAGGCTGTTCCAGTGCTTTATAATCCTTTCAGTGAAGAATTTGTTTCTTACTATCCAATCTAAACCTCCCCTGGACCAACTTGAGGCCATTACCTCTTGTTTATTGCTTGTTACTCCAAAGAAGGCACAACCCTTCACCTCACTATAACCTCCTTTCACATAGTTGTAGAGAGCAATAAGGTCCCCCCAACCCTGCTTTTCTCCAGGGTAAACAATATGATAGATAGATACAATATGATATATTTTGATTTATGGTCTTTCAGGCCAAAAAAAGACTGTTTGTTATCTTGGTAAATTGATAAAAGGAAGTGAGATGCAAGTGCAATTAATTTCAGACTGTGATATTTTTCCTTTGAAATGCTGTAGAACAGGCATTTTAAGGTTTTGTTTCATTTCCAGTTTATGATCAAAGACAAAGGCTAATTTTTCTTTTCTTTTTTTTTTGCCCCATACAGGGTGGATCCCCTACCTTAGTCAGAAGTGATGCCTCTGCAAATGTAAGCAATCTTCTTAAGCTTTTAAGTGTGCCCTCTGTTTGCTTTGTCTCCTTTAACTGGAGAGGTTAAAAGAGTCAGTGCCTAATAGAAGTCATACATTTGTGAAAATAACATACCGTAGTTTCGATCAAAAATATACACAGGACATTCATGCAACACTCAGCTTCACTTTCCATTTAAAATAGTTTTCATGTAAAGAGAAGTCTTTCAATGAAAAATGTTTGTCAAAAATGCAGGTACATAACAGTATAAATATTTACTTCAGGAGTCTGTTCCATTGGCTTCTTTGGAATTCTGTAAAAATATCCCCCAAGGATATGGATTTACATGATTATATTCCTTGTAGATCATTTACTGTGAAAAAAAGGTTAGTATTCATAGATCGGTCATCTAATGTTGCTTGCCCTCTCACAGGGATAAGAACATTTTTGCAGGAGAGATCTGTTGACAGCACTCCAGTTCTGTTCACTGTGTGTTGGAAAGTCATAATGTATCTCGTGGGAGCTCTGTATGTGCTGCACCAAAGGGAAGAAAAACATTTGGGTCTTTTTGCATCTAGCACAGAACTCTGTGGCATTGTACCACGTTGTACCAGACTGCTGACTGATACAAAGCTGGCTTGGACACTGCTACAGAAATGTACCATACAAAAATTAATATTACATGATAAATAGGACTGGTCTTGTTCTCCCTTGTAGGAAGGAGGAAAGTGTATGTATCTACACTTCGGAAAATATTCTTAACTACCTGTGTTCTACATCCTTCATATTACTGTTGTTGGCATTTGTTTCCTTTGAAACTTCCAATTGGGACTGATTCTTTTTGGTTTCTTTACTGACTTGGCTGTCAGCAGTTTGGAACTGAGGATTGTACATAAAGGAGGGAACATAGTGGAGTGTCTACATCAATGAGTGCTGCAAACTGCAACAGTGCTGATGAACTGATACTACACACATTTCAGGAATGATCTGCTCTGGTCTGGTCCCATGGGCCAGAAGTCCATTTACTACCTGAATGCATTAAGTGTATCCCTAGAGAGCATTTTAAAATTTAGTTTAATCTGAATGGCATCCAGTTAATTCACTCTGAGACCAACCCATGATAGAAAAACAAACTACAGTGAGTGGGAACTATCAGGACTTCTGTCTCAGAGGGACACTCCTGATCTGTACTTTAATGCATAGATACACCCAGTACCTCAGCATGGGAGAGCAGCTTTTGCATATTGAGTGTAGATCTTAGTTGTCCCCCAAGTACATGTTGCAGTTTACCTCAGATCATCATCTTTAATATCTTCTTTACAGGGCAATTGAAAAGTCATTTTACACAGTTAAGATTCATGATGAAGGACACATTTCTGATACATATTTCACATTATGTGCTAAACACAAAACAGCTTATGAGCTTAGCAGATCTTGTGGAATCTCAGAGTACTCTAAAGGTCTGTAGTACTCTGGAAGAATTAATATTAAAACTTTTTGTAAGGATGTAGTTCTTCAGTATAGTGATTTTAAACTGAAACAAACAAGCTGCCCATCCTTCATTCATATCCTTTGAAGTGAAATAACCAGTATTTCCTTTCTGAAAGGGCTCTGGAGGCAGCCATTCTGGTATACAATTACACTCTAAATTTTAGACTTATTAACAGAGTAGAGAGGGCTAGATTTTACATTTTGAATGGACTTTAAACCCAAGCAAAAAGGTTTAAAATATAAATTTATATACTGCTATTCTTCAAGAAGTTTTGCTTTGAAATAGTTCTTTCAGAGAAAAACAACTGATTGCTATGTTATTTTTTTTTCCCAGGACTCATCTTCTTCTGGAGGCAGTCAGTACAGCAGCCAAGTAAGCACTCATTTCAAAAGGAGAGCAAATTTTTCACATCTGAAAATGATGGTTATTCATTCACTCAATTAAATTCAGTTTCTATATGGGAACTGTGTATAAAGGGCAAAAGCTCAGTAAATGAAATTCATCGGGTTTGATATGTCCTAAAAATTATACACAAGGAGTTTTTTAGCAAATAGTGCCCTTATTTTCCTGAAATTTGCATAATGAAGCTCACAAAAAAAAAGTGTGGAGAAAAAATTAATCAAAATGTAGCATTTTTTATTACTAGTGGACCTAATCCCATTATGAAGAAAAGCAAATCCAATTTCCTCTCTTTAAAGAAACCTCTTGTTGTATGAGGTTTCAGTAAATTTGCTAAGTTTGGTTTTCAGAGGCCTGTTGGGTAGCCAATATTTTACTGCTAGGTTTGACCCAGGACTCAGCTTTCCAAATAAAGAAATTCCATTCTCTAGAAATGAGCAGAGAAAGAACTGGAAACAAGGCCACTTTAACCTTCCCAACAAGTCACACAAACAAAGCAGTACATCTTTGCCTTCCACCCTTGCTTAGGAGCTCAGGTATTTCTCCAACTTACCTTGTAAGGCTTGAACATTAAAGCATAATGCAAGTCCTGCTCACCTGTCTTCACTCTTACCCTGCTCTCTTGCTCCTGTTGTCCTGGGAGAGTCATGTTTTGATTTAAGGAAATCCTACTGCAGGTAATTCACTCATTTGGTATTCTTTACAGGATTCATATTCCTCAGGAGCTAGCCAGTATGGAGGACATGTAAGCTCTTACTTTTAATATTTTATATTATATATTTGTTTTATAAGTATTTGACTCATATTAATAGAAAATCTCTATTATTTCAAGAAAATTGACAGTGGTCTGTATTCTGTCATAATAATGTGAATTCAAGGAAGACAAAAATGCAGTTTATTCTGGGATAATTGCACACAAACAGTCAAATAACAAAATATAGATTTCTTTGCTGCTCATCTCCATGAATTCAGAAATAACCAATTTTCAATATTTTTGTAGGGGCCATCTTCTTATGGAGGCAGCCAATATGGTGGACAAGTAAGCATTCAGTAGTCCCTGCTCTTGTAGTTTTGACCTATGCAAAACTTCAGTTTATTCACTGTCTACCTGGTTGTCTATTTTAGCTTTAATTTAGTCTAAAATCTTCTCAGTAAATCTTTCTCCATAATGCTCTGGTGCCACTGTGATTAAACAAAACAAGTTCAGATGAAGATCATTATTTAAGACTAAGAAAAAATAGAATGTGAAATACATGATTGACTTAACTCCTGAAATTTCCAGGACAAAAGGTTATGAATTTCTGACATAAGTACTTCATGAAATTAACCAAAATTTTTTAAAGCCTCATGAAATGATTCTATGAGTCTATGAAATAGATGTAAAAAAGTTTCCGTTTCCTTTTTTATTTTCAGGGTTCACCTTCCTCAGGAGGCAGCCAATATGGTGGACAGGTGAGAATTCTTCCCTTGTGGTGCTTACTACTTCATCAGAGACATTCGATAAACGTCTCTGTGTAAAAGAACATTTTAAGGAGATTGTGTTTTATTTTGGTGATTTTTCCCCCCATGTTTAATCTAATTTGTTGCTAAGTATACAGTAGTTATAAATGTATGTGATACAAAGCTACAAAAGAATTTTTAAGATGGAATTTCTGATTCATCATGGTAAATGCAGATGATTCTTACCCATTTGTGGTTCAATCCACTCATAGTTCTGCAGTGAAAGCAACTGGATACTTCTCCCTTATGTGGAGCATGGTTCAAAGGGCTAGAATGACAGACAGAGATCATTAAATTCTTTTTTGTTCAGGGTTCACCTTCTTCAGGAGGCAGCCAGTATGGAGGGCAGGTGAGAATCTCCTCCTATGTAGTTCTTATTCTAACACACAGTTCCCACATCAAAACTTGATACTTTTATATTAACTGAAAAAACTTTTTGAGTAAACTCTGTTGATCTGATAATTTATGATCTGGTATCTATCTGAAACAGTACAAAACCTATGTAGATCTGGTGCTTCTGTTGTATCACAATTAATTCAGTTCTGGCCTTGTTCTACCCTCCAGCCTGCCCTGCTGCTGTCAAGGTTTCTTAGCTCTAACAGTAAAGAGTGGCTGGAAGGAGATTTCATTCCTCCTCTACCTCACTTCCTTTGGTAAAATGCAAAATCAAAGTTGATGTCAGAGAAGCAGTATGTCTCAGAAGAGGAACAGGGCAGAAGATCAGGAGTTGCTAAGAGAGGTGTTCCATGCCCTTGTGAAATGAAAGATGATGGATAGGGTTGCTAGTGCTACCTAGAGGTATAACCTCTAATATGGAGTGACATCCCCAACAAACTCATCCTTGGACTCAGAAAACATTGACTGTCGGATTTATTGGATAGGGGATTAGAGGAGAAAGAGATTTTTCAGTCCAAGTAGTCTCAAAAAGCTACACATGCATCTTAATAGCTCATGATCAATATTATGGAAGATTCATATGTTAAGGACACTCCCTAATTTGCACAGAACACATAAAGCAATAGGTTGAATGTCTATCTTCCTGTAATTTTTCATTATGCAACAGAGAAAGGAAACAGTCTTTCTTAAAAAAAGCTCTTAAAGAAGCTTTTTGATTTGAGAAATAATTGGCACCTTTGCTTCAGGGTCCATATTTCCCAGGTGGCAGCCATTATGGAGGACAGGTGAGAATTGTTTTTCTATTTATGGATTGTTTTTTCCATTGTTCATCTTTCCATTTTTTTGTGAAAAATTGAATACTTTGTAAAGGGGTATCTTACAGCAAAACAGTGTTTAGGCAGACCAGATAAATATATGACTTTCTGTTGTGTCAGCCTACTCTCATAAGTAAAACATAGGAGGCTGCTGTGAGCACACGATCCAGGGCAGCAGCACTACTCTCACCTGCCTAAAGCTGACTTTAATTCAAACTTCATTGTTCTGTCTAAATAGCAGCCACTGTAAAGGCCAGTGGCTTTCAGTATGGCCATAAAATAAGTGTTTGCATTCCTATGACACTTAAGTTCATGGAAGACAAATAAAAATATGTTTTTCTGTGACAGGTCATAAGTTAAATAATGTGCAACATATATAAATGCTTTCTCATTTCTTTAGGGTGTGGCTTCTTCAGGAAGCAGCCAGTACAGTGGACAGGTAAAACTTTTAACTTCCAAAGTAGCTGCACTTTGGGTAAACAGTTAGAAAAACATTAGGAAAATGGACCTGTATTTTTTGCAAAAAAGGAACATTCTAAAAAAGAATGGCTTTAAGCCAGGCTGAGTGAGGATTGCTAAATATAGGTGTGAGCAGTATGTCAGATCATGGTATGAGCAAATGATACAGGGGCCTGTGTGACTGCATGGAAATGCTTCTTTAACAGATCATGGTTCAAGAAGCCCATTTTTTGTTGTTACATTTAAACAGAAGCAATTTGAAAGACTGAGGACCACAGAGAACAAGTGAGAATGTTACTCAGTAACACAGAAATAATTAGTTACTCATTTTTTCCAGGGCTTTTCTTCAGGAGTCAGACAGTCTGGTGGACAGGTATGTCCTTCTTTCTCGGCAATGTTCAGCTCTGCTAGTGTCAGGCACTCACAAACTGCTTTGTGTAGGTTTCCTTCATGAGAACTGCTTCCCTTTACACATTTCATCCAGATTGAATGTGGAAAGTGAAACACTAAATGGTAAACCCCTAACCACCTCTTACTTAGTTTTATCAGAGTAGAAATTACCTAATAAGCCTCAACTGGAAGTCATCTTTAGTGTTTCCTGTAACATCCGTAGCATGAAAGAGTACTGTATGTATGTATTCACAAAATCACAGGATATGCTAGAGTTGGAAGGGACCCATCAGGACCACTGAGTCCAACTCCTGGCCCTGCACAGGACACCCCAAGAGTCACATCATGTGCCTGAGGGCATTGTCCAAACACTTCTTGAACTCTGGCAGGCTTCGTGCTGTGACCACGTCCCTGGGAAAATTCTAGGTGCTCTGGTGTCCTCAGGGGGAAAAAAATAAAATCTGTATTACTACTCAGAATCTGCTACTCATCATTTTAAGAGTTTTTAGTGTAAATTTTAAATGAGAAATTAGAAAATTCTATTTAAAAAATTGATGAGTAACTGCACAGCTCGCCTGAAAAGGGCAGTGGAGGCAAAAAGAAACTACTTTTTAGATGGAGCTTGGGGAGTCTATGAGCAGGATTTTATAGTCCATTTGCTTACAGTTAGCAGAATGTGAGTTTGATTTACGAATTCAGAGTCCTATTCCAATCAGAGACCCAGGAAAGTAAGTTTGGTTGTGTTTTGTACAGGGTGGGTGTGTGTGCCCCGGTGGAGGTCCAGTAAGTATTCTTTGTCTTTATATATTTCTCATAGTACTGGAAAATTCCCAAGGAACTACATTTCTTGAAATAATTCTATCTGTGAAATTCTATGTATGATGGAAGTTTTCTTCACATTATGCTAAAATGAACAATTTTGAACCTGCTAAAGACAAAAATATTAAGTGACTTGCAACTTTAGTAGTGTATTCAAAACTAGCTACTCAGTTTGTGAGAGAGGCCTGGGACTTTTCTAAGAATCTGTTTCCCAAATATTTCATTGGGTTTTAGACATGTGTGTGTAACAGTACTGCTCTTATGACGGTTACTAACAGTATGATTCAACTAGTGAAACTTAGATCTAAAATCATGTCCCCAAATGCTTTCAGATTGGAGCAGAGCAACACATTTAAAAAGTTATATATTTCCATTTTTTCTGTCTAATTAGTATATTCCTTATACTTTCGTAAATACTTTAAAAAGAAACAAACAAATGCCCTCCCAACATCTGAGAAACCCCACTCCACTGGTTTGCTGAGACCAAGCTAATTTACTTCCAAGAGATGGTTCAGTGACCTGTTTGCTCAGTATAGTCAAAATTGCTTAGATGACTACTTCTCTTTCCTTGATTACATAATCAAGCAAAACTACATGCCCAAGTATACAACTCATGACACCCATGCAAATTCTGAGAATCAAAAGTGTCAAAAATAACCTAAAAATTAGAATTTATATAAATAGAAATTATATTATTTTATAATATATTATCACTTATATATATTATATATATTATATAAACATAAATTATTTGACATATAAATCACAATGAATCAAAACTAAATCCTTTACTTGTTTAATCAAAAGAATAGTAGTAATCAGTGTAAATGACTTGATCATTGCAATTGGTCAATATGTTGTCTTGTTTCTCCTCTATGTGACATTGAATTTAATACAGAGTAAACACTTCTATTTCTGTTGAACACAGGGCTCTTTTGGAGGAGCCAACTATGCTGGTGGACAGGTAGGCAGTTTGTCTTTAACATTTACACAGATTAGTTCCTTGGGAACTATTCCTCAGGAATAAACATGGCTCAGTTGCCATATTTGCCCAGAATCCATCAAATATTGAGTTCAGTTTAGTCACAGAGATAAGGACAATAATTCCAGAGAGTGTATGGGGCTCTTATTAAGTCACTCTTGACATTTCAGTTATATCTTCCTATGAACTAGAGCCAAGATCTTACTTTGTAGTTACAGGAGCTTTCTTACCTCGAAAAATTACTGAAGAATCATTCACAGGGTTCATCTCACTGCCTAAACCATTAGCATGATGTGTGGATAACTAGTCATTTGCCATTGCATTAATAACTGTGTAAAGTTCTTCAAGTTAATCAATGTCAGGAGTATTGTTTATATTAGGCCCAGGACTTTTTAAGGACAGATTCTACTTAGAAAACTATTTATGAAAATTTCCCGTTCTTTTTACAGGGTTCATCATATTCTGGAAGCAATCAGTATGGCGGACAGGCAAGCACTTTTTCTTTGTTTTCAAGATCTTCTTTCTACTTGCTAGTTATTAAAAGAAAAATATGATGCAGTGCATATACTATTGGTTTTTCAGAGACACTCTTAATGAATATTTGAAAACAGGGACCATCTCTCAGTAACTGAAATGGAGTAGCACAAACAAACTTCAGTTTAAAGAAATTCCACAGATCATAATTCTAGTTGTTTTACCTCAAAATGCCTCTTATCTCAAGTGATAATTTTATTAACCATTTTTATGTTTCAGTTTCACATTGCTATGATGCCAGTTCAAAATATATTTTCTATGTTATTTTTCAATTATATTGAAGTTATCTTTTTTTTTAAACTTGTTTAGATTGAATATTTGAAAAAATTTGGCACAAAATATACCAATAGATATTGCTTTGAAAATATAAATTCTGGTGTGTTGCACCCAATAATACTACTTTCCTCATCTTCAGCTGCAGTTCAAGTCTCTTACTGTAATCAGCTCCCTGAGTACCTTCTCTACACTTAGTAGTTTGTAACTGATTCTGAAATCTTACTACTGCAAGTAGTTGACAGATGTAATGGAGGGCTGTCTAATAAGATGGAGCATATTTTTCATTAGTATTATTGTGTTTGCAATGTTTCACTCTGCTACACTTAAAAAAATAATTTCTTTTCATTCCATCGCCAAGCAGTTGAGTTCAGTATCACTCTACAAAGAAGATAATCTCTTGTAGCATGGAGAGGATTTTTAACAGCTGCAAATCAATCTTGTTCCCAATTACCTATTTGGAATCATAAGTATATTTTTCCAATAATAGACATGATGCTCTCTGAACACATCTGATGTAGCAGAAAATCACACATAAAGTAGATTTTTTTTCTCTTGAAAGCCATATGTAAGACACTTTAGATCCATTTATTTATGTAACAGAACAGTCTTAGCAGGTGTTTTGTGACTGTTTGCCCAGTTTAGTACTTTCGGCTGTTAAGGAACTTAGAGGCATTAAGTCAAAGTCTTTCACTGAATATTTTTAGATTAATATACTTTCCAGATTGTTACAGAGATCTCCTGTTAAAAGTCATTCTGTGATGTTTCATTCTGCATAGGAAAAAAAAAGTAACTGCTGTTAAATTCTCATATTCTTTTTAATAGGGATCTTATCCCTCAGGGAGCAGCCAGTATGGTGGGCCGGTGAGTATCTTTCCATCCCATCACTCCTAGCTTCTTCCTAACATACTTTCTAGATCAGGTCAGTTACTTGATGCTGAAAGATACATTAATTTGGCCATTTTATAAAGCCTAAATAGTTGAGGTAATACCAATTGGTCGTTTCAGCAAGGTGAATAAAAGATTTGGTTCCAATGAATTACTGCTCTGTGTAAAACATTCCTTTGAATGTACTATAACCACCAAACTGTATTTCATAACACTGCTCTCTTAGTTCAAATTGCCACTGGTTTGGTGTGCAGTATAGAGATGAAGTTTTAGGTACCCCATTTACTGTTTTTGTTCAAACAACATCCACATAAGTTTGTTCTAAGTACTGCACAAATTGTCTCAAGACAGTGACAGATTTTTCCTTCAATTAATAGATGTTGCATTGACTTCTTACAGGGCTCATATTCTTCTGGAGGCAGACAACATGGTAAACCAGTAAGTCAAAAAATTCAAATTTACCTTCCTTTTTTCTTATATACCTGTTAAAAAACCCGTATCTAGTTAGTTATGGACCAGACAGTATTCTGAGAATTAATTCAATATGCAAAGAGTTTCACATGATTTAGTCATCTGGGATAATCTCAACAAATGCAAATAAAATATTTATTTTCACACAGTTCCATTGTTTAGAGACAGCATTTTACTATGTAACTGAACTTCTGGTAATCACAGAATGAGATCACAGGATTTTATTTTTAATTTGTTTGTTTGTTTAACAAACTTCTGAATAGTTATTTCTGTTTAAATTCATAATAATCATACACTTCCTCCTCAGGGCTCAGTTTTTCATTGATTTTAAATGCATTTGTCCTAAGTATTTCTGGCTTGCTTTGAAGAAAATACTTACTTTTTCTTTTTGAAGGACGCAATAGTTGCCATTTAACTGTGCATATTTTCAACTTCTCCCATTTCAGACTACTATTTTTACTATGTAATTTGGACCTTGCTCTTGTCCTTCAATGGCAGGAGATAAGCACACACAATGTTTTCGCTTATCGCTTATAGAAAAGAAGGTGTACCTGTTATTAAAAAGTGGGCATAAATGTTACCTTTTCTAATACATGAATCATAAAGGTGAGACACTTTGTGTCCTGTATTTGATGTCCATTAAGTATTCAATGCTTGGTAACATTTCCTATTGGCAATGCCATTCAAATGAGCAGAGCCACTTTCCCAGAAAGCTGGATGGTTGATTTTTCTATATCCATTTTTTTAGAGTTACCTTTCTTATTAGAGCTTTTTTCAAATAGTGGCTGTAGAGTGAAGGACTCTAACATTTGCATTTTTTGGTGGTGGTGTCCGTTTTTCCCCCAAATGTAAACATAGATTGATACCAGGCAAATTAATGTTTCATTAGACCTTATTATTTTTTCCATTCCATATATTAAACACATCACAACTACGAAACAGTTCTTTCTTCTTGAGAACACTGTATCAAAATTTCCAATACATCATTTGAAAGAATACTTGTAACAAAACGATGCTAAATATTTGTATTTCAGACAAGGTTTTCCCTGAGATTTTTAGAGGACTGGACACAAGACAGTGTTCGTTCTCCTGTGGTCCTTTATTCCAGACAGTGAGAACATATAAGTGCAAATAGAGTCAAAAACAGGTATCTTTTTTCAGGGTTCATCTTCCTCAGGAAGCAGTCATCAAGGAAAGCCAGTAAGGATATTCTTCTTTCAGTATTCTGCAACCAAGTTAGAAATGTGGATATTGGTTTTTAAAATAGATAACAGTAATGAGGGTGAAATTTAAAATTATGTTACAATGGTAAATGTCTGAAAAAAATTACCAAAAAGATTGGAATATTTTGTTCAAACTTGAACCTTAGGATGAGGCAGCATTTACTCCTCCCATAGCAAAGTTTTTATATACTCTGTCACTTACTCATAGGAGTATGTTTGGATCATTCTGATAAGAATGATGTATTTAAATATCAGGGTAACTGTTTCAGTTTCAAACTCTGCAGTTCAGTCAATGGCACATTGCTTTGACACATTCCTCTGAAACTGTTCATGGAATAAAGAGGACATAGCTGTGCTTACTCAAGACCATTCAATTAAAATAGGGGAGGAAAGTGCAACAAAAATGGTAAAATCAAAGTCAATATCAAATCTAATGCTATCCAGGGCATTTTCAAGACTGCTATGTGCTCTTTGGACACCGATCACTTGGAGTCTCATACTAGAAAATTAAATGGTTGATAATTATTTTACAGGGTGGCTCTGGCTCAGGAAGCACTTATTCTGGAAAACAGGTAAGAATACTTTAATTACAGCCTTTTCATCTTCTTTTCTTAGTAAACAAAGAAACCTGGGTGGTAGGTAGAGCAATTTTAGGATGATTTGGTCTGAAGAGAACATTCTGTATTAGTTCCATTTATATTAGAGCATATTTAAAGAAACCACTGTGGAAAATATGGCCTCAGCCTGGGAAAGCAATTTCAGTGTCAGTTATATTTTAAATCTAAATCTCTCTTGTTTCAGATTTCAGTTAGGGGCCTTGTTACATTTTTCTGTCCTCTGTTTTTTAAATTCTTGTTCTCTGTGTAGATTTTATAGACTGTGCTCAGTTAATCCTTCACTTTTTATTTTTTTTTAATAAGCTAGATTCTTGAGTTTTTTGCTGGCAGGTTACCTGGTTTCGCACTTCTTTTTTTTGTTTTGTTTTCAGTACTCGTCAAATTTTTAACGTCCTCTTTCAATTATAGAGATGGAAAACTCTGTATCAAATATGATAATGGAATGAGAGAAAAATAGACTTTTGTCTTTCCATCAGTTTTAGCTGAAATTTTCAGATGTACCACGAGACATCTGTACATAACTAAAACTGTTTGCTTTATCAATGCAAAGCAATTTTCCTCTTGAACAAATTAAACCCATGCTGTGGGTTAAGGTAATCAAAACTTTTGCAGACAAAAACTGTTTTCAAAACCATTGTGTGAGAACACTTTTAGATTTATTTGTTTGTTTGTTTTCAACAGTCACCTTCCTCTGGAGGCAGTCAAGTGGTAAGCACTTTTCTTCTTTGTAGGTTCTACTGGTTTCTTCCTATACCTGTCACAGAAAACTGAAACTGTTGTTTATACTGTGAGGTATCTATCAGATTTCCTGTATCTGAATAACTATTTGAGAAGACATGTGCAACATAATAAATGGGAATAGTATCGACAAAAATGAAGAAAAGTGGGACCACAGAGGTGTTTTCCATGTTTGTCCCCGCGTATCACTTGAAAACTGAACACCTGTTGATTTATGGGCGCTATGGATGTGACACATGATCTTTTTAACATCAGAAGTGCCTACATAATAGAAGGGGCCAATAGGAAAAGATTTCTCTGAAACTTTCTATGCTTTTATAATAGTGATAAATAGAACTATTTTGAAATGGGTTTATCAGATGTCTCTCTTTTTTTATAGAGCTCTGCTGGGAAACACTCCACTCCCCAACTCCTGATGTTATTCAGTGTTTTGAGTGCCTTTGCTCTCTCTGCTGCCACATCAAAATGGTCTATATGAACCTCCGAAGAGCTGTTTGACAACCTAAACATGGATTATATTCCATATTATTAGATTAATTACTTAATGTAAGAAAAAAAATATCCTTAAGTCAAATTGTCAGATGCTACTTGGCTGTTATGTTGCATGTCTAGCTGATATGTCATGCCTTTCATTAGTTTACCTCTGGTTTTAGTCATTAGTAGATATCATTAGTTTTGTCAGTGTTTTAGGCATCATTTTAAGAGAGCATATTGTACCCCACCTGTATGATTTATTTGTATTTCTGACAGGGAATGCGATGAACACCTGCCTGAAATGACTGGTGTGACAAATGAACACTTAGAAAGTATTTGGTTATTAACCAAAGTGGACGAGGTCAAATAAATTGTTATAGATGCGAGCTGAGCACTGTGCCTGGTTATTATCACATAAAATAAGGCCAGCATAAACATCTGATAAGCAGTTCTCCATGGGACAGAACAAAAGATGCTAAAATAGTATCAGAGTATTGGGTTTAGTCTATTGTAATCAGATGTGAGTTCAATAGGGAGAACTGCAAAGCAAAAAAAAATACTCCATGGGACTGAAATTTTGGGGAGTTAACTAAAGTTTATTCATTAAAAAAGCGTACAGCTCAGAGCAAAGAAATGCTGAACTCTGTTCAAACCAATGGCAAATGTCTAGAGTTCTGTAGAGAGGCATAGGAGGCAAATATAACCCAGATTATGTTGATAGCCTAAAGCTGCTGAAAACCAAGGCCTTTTCCCTTGGGAAGGAATGGAAAATTAATTAAATTCATAAAACTGACAAGATCTTGGCTCCTTTTTTCAAGTATTTAGTCTAACCTGTGATACCTGAAATATCTGACAGTTTAATTTCAAGAGTGATGCTGACATCTGCAAGCAGGTACAGTCAGTGTGGTCACTGAAAGATCATGGCCCATTTTTGAGTTCAGGAGCAGTTCCACACTTTGAAGCAAACTCTTTTGGAGCTGCCAGAGCCTTCTGTTTGGTGTTAACAAAGTGCATTCTCCTAAAACATACTTCTAATGAATGTCTTATAAAACACATACCTACTATTAAAATTACCTTTATTAGTAGTGTGCTTGTCTCCCATGGTTTACTATTGTAATTGGTGGGACAGGTTTCTGTTCCAGTTCTGTGGGACCTGGATTTCACCCAGTTTTGATGTGCTACGCTGTCCTTTGCCAACCATTGGGAAATCAACTCCTAATTTAAGCATAAAGTTTTGCCTAAATATGATCTTCCAAATTTGGTGGCCAATTCGCTTCTTTGCCCAGCGTAGTGCCGTTCTCTATGGCAGGTCCGCACCTGCATCCGAGCCAGCCTTGCCCCTCTTACAAACCCGGCCGCACAAGTGCCCCTTTTTCCGCCGGCGGGACCCGGGCCCGGCGGGGCGCTCGTGGGAAAAGGTGGGCAAGGGGCTCCAGGGCCCAGGGGGCTCAACCCCCCCCCGCCCCGCTGGGGCCCAGCCACTGCCCTGCCCGGGGCCCAGGCCATTGGCCCTGCCCGGGCCCCGCCCATGCCCCTGGCCCGGGGCGCCATGCCCTAGCCCGGGGCCCAGCCCATGCCCTGCCCGGGGCCCAGGCCATCCCTTTAGCCCGGGGCCGCAGCCATGCCCTGCCGGGCGCCCGGCCCGGCCCCGGCCCTACCGCCCTGGCGGCCCCCCCGAGCCCCGGCGGGCGCGCATGCCGCTCGCGGGCCGCTCGGTGAAAACGGGAGCAGGCGGGCTCGGGACTGCAGCAACGAAGGCCTTTGCCGGACGGGACCCGCGGCGCCCGGAAAGCCCCCGGAGCTGAGGGGAGCCGGGCCGGGCCGGGGGCCGGCGGCGAGGGGCGAGCGGGGCCCGGGCGGGGCGCAGGTGGCGAGCAAGAAGCCCCGGGCCGGGGCCGCCCCGTCGGAGAGGCGGGGCCGCTGGGCCGGAGGGGAAGCGAAGCCCGAGGGGGGCCGTGTGGAGCTGGCCCGCAGGAGGAGGCGTTTGGGGTCGGTGAATGGGGCGGGAAGAGAGTCTGTGGGAGCAGGCTGGGGAGGGGAAGGGTGGGATCGGAGAGACGCTGAGAGAAATGTGTGGGTATGGAGCGGTTCGGGCAGAGGGAGGGGAGGGCGCAGGTGAGGTCTCTGCGGGGAGGCGGCTGTGTGTGGAGTTGGGAGGGGGCGCGGAGCTCGTCGGAGCTGTGTTGGTGTGCCGAGCTTGGCGCTCAGGGCGCCGCTGGGGCTCTGCTGAGAAGATGCTCAGTGATGCAGAGCTGCGTGTAAAGTTATCAGAAATGCACACTTTACAAAGTATTTGCGTGGTATCACGATTTCATACCAGGTTTTTGAAATGAGAAACGCTCTAGCAGTACAGCGCTTGTGGATTAAGTCAGAAACCCAGAGGATGCAGAGATAATGAATGTAATAATGCATGGAGTTATGGAATAAACTGGAAGGTAAAAGATAAATGCCAGAAGGTACAGCAAGTTGTTTCATTTTATTGAATCCCATAAACTGTGTTTTAAACCACAGTGAGGAAGACAGGTTCCAGAGAAAAGCTTTTAAAGGAATGACTGGGTGGAGTAGACTGACACAGCTTTCAGCAATGGAGGGCTGTGTTATTTGGGACATAAAGAACATACACAACAAACCTTTCTAAAACTGAGTGAGAACCACAGTGGGAAGTTTATTTGTCAGGTGGCCTCTACACAGAGGGGGTGAGATCTAAAACAACGTTTACTTTTCAACAAACGTGCAGAATGACAAAATGGGTCTTAGAATGGACATTAAGTGATGGACTGGGGGGTTGCCTTTCTCTGTAGGCACTGCACTTGACTCACTTGAATTCTGTGTGTGCACTGAGGCTGCAGGTGAGTGTGAGGGAGGTGACAGTTGTGAAGAAAGTGATTTATAATAACCTCTTCCTTTAGAAACTGAAGCTTATTATTCCCTTGTCCATTGTTAGGCGTTGTGGGAACTCATGATTTAAAATCACATGTGGGATAAGGATCCGCTGGTTTGGGGATGTGTGATGTTCTCGTTTGTAGAGGTGATATGTGCAGCAAAAATACCGATTTTGGGAAAGGCTGGTTGTAGTAAGTAGAAATTTGCATTCTTTAGAGTGGTGTGTTCTTAGGAGTGACTCTGTCTAACAATCCTACAGGCTGCCTACATGGCCTAATTCCTTGTGCAAGTTACACTGGTGTTTGCAGTAGCAGGAAAAAGGCAGGGATGATCTGAACCAAGTACCTTTGGGATTCAAGTCACATGTGTCTGCTTAAAGCAGTTCTGGATTTGGCAGTGTTAAGTGAGGATAACACATCCTTATCTTTGGGACAGGCTTGCTAGATACAGTGATTCCTTCCATATTATTCTTGAATTGCTTGCAACCTGGGCTCATTCTTCACGAGTTGCTTCAGTTCACACCAAATGCCTGCTGCTTGCACGGGCTCCGGGCCTTGGCTGGAACTCAGAAGACTGCACAGCTGAATCACATCAATGGAGAGTGTCTCTAGAGGGGAGGAGAGGTTCTTAAGATCTGTACTTCTTAGGATCTAGTATAATAATGTCAGATGGTTAGGAGTTCAGGATTTTGCCACTGGGGTTTTGAACCTTGTCCTTTATATTTATACCCCTTCAATACACTGTTCAGCTGTCTAATTTTATTTGCAATTGCTAGCTTTCTACAGTGTCTACAGATTTATCTTCACTGTAGTATCTAGTTTGGGTTACTCTACTCCAAGTAGGTCACCTTTATTGAGGGTACCTGCATTGCCTTGAGCACTCAGACTTGATTTTAATTCATAAACGGCACAAGTGTGAGCTGTGGCTGAACCCAAACTGGATTAAATGTTCGGTCTCCCAGCACCTTATATCAAGCTCTGTCATTGGCTTGATACATCTGCAGGAGTTGCACTCCAGCAGTCCTTCAGTTCATGGCATTGCACTGCTGCTGGAGGAGGGATGGGCATTTGAACTAAAACTGAGAACTGAACGTCTCCTTGCTCACAGAGTCTGGATGTGACTGTGAGATCTATCTATACTGTGATCTATACAATGAATGCAGTGTGTGTACTGTGTGAATGAGTGAGAGGCACTTCAGGCAGGTTGTATCAAATTTCTGTGCTGGCAGGCAGAGTTTGGCTTAATGACTGCTATGTCAATATAAAACTATTGCAGTACTGTGTAGAGTTGAAGGCTTCATCTTACAAGAAATGCTGGTGTTAACATTTAGCTCAGTGAGGGCCTGAATTTCCAGAACGCTGAATATTTATACTCAATATGTCATTTGTGTAATATTCATCAAACCAAATTCTCATCAGAAAAAAAATATCTGAACTTTGGCGTCTTAGGTTTGGTGTAAAGGATAAAGGGGTGGGCTTAAAGAGCACTTAGCCACAAATCTCACGTTTAAGATTCATAATGCCCAACTCTTCCTGTCTGATACATAGATTAGAAAGGTGATTTTTTTTTCCTGTGAAAGAAAGAAAGAAACAAACAGAAAACCTTTGCGAGATCATAAAAAAACTCAGTGAGGTTCCCTTTCTGCTAGGTTTTCTGTCAACCTGTAAGAAAACCTTACCTGATTCCCTAGCAATTTATAGCATTCTCTGAAATTGGACTTCAATTAATAGTTAATATGTAATTGCATTCCTTTTGTTAACTTGGCAATGAGGGAATTTCCTGGTTGAGTGATAAGCCAGTGAATCACTGATATAGCCTCCACTATCTTTGTAAAAAGCTGAGGTTTTGGAGCAAAGTTTAAAAGAAATCATTGGTTGATCTTTAATAGTTACCATTTAATGTGTAACTGCTCTGTGCTTAAGTGCACTTGCCAGTTCTAAGAAGCATCTGCATGATTTTAAAATGGCCAAGTGTTGTGGTTTAACCCCAGCTGGCAATTAAGCCCCACACTGGCTCACTCTCCATAGTGGGATGGGGGAGAGAATCAAAAGGGTGAAAGTGAGAAAACTTGTGGGTTGAGACAAAGACAGCTTAGCAGGTAAAGCAGAATCCACACATGCAAGCAAAGCAAACCAAAGAATTCATTCACCACATGCAATGGGCAGGCAGCCACCTCCAGGAAAGCCAGACTCCATGCCTAACGGTGACTTGGGAAGACAAACACCATCACTCTGAACATCCCTTCTTTCCTTCTTCTTCCTCCAGCTTTATATGCTGAGTAGATTCCATATGGTATGCGATATCCCTTTGGTCAGCTGGGGTCAGCTTTCCTGGCTCTGTCCCCTCCCAACTCCTTGTGCACTCCCAGCCTCCTCACTGGTGGAGTGGGAAGCAGAAAAGTGTAAGCACTGCTCAGCAGTAGCAAAAACATCCTTGTGTTACCAACACTTTTCAGCACAAATCCCAAACACAGCCCTGTACCAGCTACTATGAGGAAAATGAACTCTACCCCAGCCAAAACCAGCACACCAAGATAGGGCTGTGGCAAGAGAGATGACGTTGCAGGAGCAAGGTCCACCAGTCATCTGCTGTGTTGTACTTGATATCCTTGTCGTGAAGATTATTTGAAGGCAGTTATGTTTTTAATTTGTTTTCAGCGGTTAAGAATTTTTTTTTATGTCAGTGGAGAAATTGGAAATACTGCCTGAAGGAAACCTTCATGTGAAAAAAGTCTTTGCTCCTCAGTTTCTTCTAGAAGAATACAGAAAAAACTTTGGGATTTGCTTTTAACAATGTTCCGAAGAAGTGTACAAGCTCTAAGAGAAGCATAGCTTTTTTATTTTATTTGTAGTGTACTGAATACACTTTATAATGTATTCAGCAAGAAGAATGGGTAACAAACTGGAAAACAAAAGAAAGAGCAAGGTAAGTTTTAAAATACTAAAGTGAGTTGCAGTGATTTAGTTGGAAAGTGCCAGGTATTTGGGGAGAAACAGCTGATAATTATAGATAGCTTATGGGTGGGAACAAAGAAGAAACCTATCTCCAGTATGAGGAAAATGGAAAACATAATAGTGACATTTTAAAGTGAGAAATACAAGGTTTAATATTATTAGAAATGTTAGTAGCGTGGTTTATTAAGATTACACAGACATGGCAGGTTATATCTTGTGGGGGTGAGGGGAGAAAGAAATGCACTGTTGAATGGTAGCAGAACAAATTTGGCAGGTAAAATATTCATATGTATGTAAAATATACTTCAGAACCCAGTTCAGCAGCAGTTGACTAGATTTGGAAAGGTCTATGCAGCCTCAGTACCATCTGAGGCATTTATCATAGGATCATAGAGTGGTTTGGGTTGGAAAGAACCTTAAAGATTGTCTGGTTCCAACTCCCCTGCCATGGGCAGGGACACCTTCCACTAGATCAGGTTGCTCAAAGACCCATCCAACCTGGCCTTGGACACTTACAATGACAGAGTTGCTGCAGTTCTCTGGGCAGGCTGTTCATGGACTACCCCAGCCCATGTCCAGGAACTTAGGCTTGGCCTTGTTGAACTTCATGAGGTTCCTTCCACCCATTTATTTTCCATCCTTATATTTTTAGTATTAGATACTACTTTTGGTGAAAAGAAGGCTGATTCCAATAGAAAGAATATTTATGGAATAGAATTTTGCTCTGAGGAATGTAGTTGTGTTACAGAGTGACATGTTACTTGTGTGTTATCCAGCACAGGCAACAGGGCAATGCATGTGCAAAAGCACAGGAGTTTTATAAAAATAGGTTCTTCAGGTTCTGTGAGTCAGCTCTTGCTCCACCTCCCAGTTTTGTGTTTCCTTTGTTGACAGCTTATGGTATTTGTATAGTGTAGCATCAGCACTGGGTTCACATTCCACTGGAGAAATAGGAGAACACAATCCTGTTTCTTTAATCTGCTATCCTGATTCCAAAGCAAATGCCCAGGAAATGTGTCCATACCTTTAACTTTCCTTGTGACAGAGTTGGGAGGAGTAAAGAAACAGTTGCCAGTAGAGGTTATTTTCGTGTCAAAACTTTTGATGAATGTAATCTAATTTTTTGTTATGGGACTTAGCGTAGTATCCATCTGTATTTTATCCACCTGTATGTTCTGAAGTTGGACTTTGCGTGGTTGTAAATCCCATCTTAGCTTCCTGCATATTGACTCCTGTATAGCCCTGCCTTCCTGTGGCTATTGGGTGTGTCTCCATGGTACACTGAATATATGACACAGAGGCAGCTGGCTTGTTTTTTCACCTAGACTAATAGAAGCAAAGAGTAATGAGCCTTGTCCCTGAGGTAACAGATGTGTTAGGCTACATTACAGTCAATGAGCTGCAGGTCCTTAGCACACTGTAAGGTACAGTTCAAAGGACATTGAGCTAATGGGACCCCTCAACTTCCAGTATTTTGAATTTGCAAACCTAAATCTGAGTTTTCGAACAGATGCACCCACCAGAGTACTGAGTAGTGCATCCAAAGCCCAGTAAGAAATCTAAGTTGTAACTCTGTATGGGAAACTTTAATTTCATTATTGGCTTAAAAAAATCAGTGTGGGCTGTTACTAAGACAATAGTTCATTTATTCTGTGCCTGCTCAGGCTGTTGCTGTGAGGGGAGCAGGAGCTCATGGCAGCAAGCAAGCAATTACACCTCTGGCAGTAATCTGTTAATCTAAAGCTGCTCTGAAACTGCAGTTGAAGACAGCTCAGCTGTTTGGAGTTCAATACTTGGCTCTTTTTCTGGATCCAGTTCCCAGTTTGCACAGTTCTATAAATTGATATGCAACTCTTTTAAAGGGAGCAGGAAAGCTGATAAGATGTTATGTGTGCTTAGTAGAGGGTGGTTATATCATTGGCATACGTTTCAGGACTCTAGTTCCTGCTCTGTGAACCAGCTTGTAAGTACAGTGGGAGACTTCACACCCTTTTTCTCTACAAACCTGTCTTTTTGACCACTGACTTTTAACAAAAATCCTTATTTTAAGCTATCACACTGGACACTTAGAATCCATTTTGTATGAATGTTTGAAACTCTGAAACTGTTTCAGTGAATTATGGTCAAGAAATGTTTCCTGCTACTGGCACCTTTTTGAGACACATTGACTGGGGAAAGTTCACTTTTTTGTCATGATTACTAAGGAAGACAAGACAGTAGTTCAAGATAATGTTGTGGTATGTATTCCTTATGGCTTTGCTGATGGGTTTATCAAACTGTTGTGCTTGTTGTTATGTTTTCATGCTGATTACTTTGGTACTTGCTCATAAAACAGCGTACTAGTGATTTACTTACTAAAATTACATTTTAAACTGCTTCATAAATAGGTGGTTGTATTTCAGTAAGAAATTATTGTGAACATTATTTTTAATATTGTGACCTGTTTTGAAGGTTAAGGAATTGATATCTAATAATTTTGAATGTTTGTAAAACCCTTTGTCACTTCATAGGTTCACAGAATGCAGAAATTTGGGTCCAAGTCAGGAAACATGTGCGTTCTCATTATCTGTATTTTGTTCAGAAGCATTTTGAAAACTGAAAACCAAAAAGTTTAAAAACTTATTTATCTGCAAGTGTGCTTTCAAGAAAATCGGTGTTGTTCATTTTAGCAATATATTGCTCTTTGTGTTTCCTGTTTGTCAGATCTCAATACTAAAAAAAAAGAGGTAAATGGAAAAGGTGAAAGAAATTGTTCAAGTTGGCTCACATAAATGTCGGTTTTCTCTAGTATCATAGCCAGGCCTTTCAGTGAAATTCAGTTCTGTATTTTCTCTCAGTGGATTTTTTTCTTTCCCTTTTTCTCTGTCTTCTCTATTGTGGTGGTATTTCCCTAGAGAGTATGATCTCTGACCTTGCATGTCCCCTCTTCATCCCTTTATAGAAACTGTTCTTCTGTTTCTTCTCCTTGTTCTCAGCTGTAGCAAATTTATTCTTCAAAGTTTTTGTTCTTCAACTAACAAATAATCTCTATTTTGTTGTTGAGGATGCTAATTCCACAGTTAATATGCTCATGTAAAGGATTATTCCACCAGAACCAGTGGAAAACATCAGCAAATCTCAAATATCGTCTTCAGCTTTCTTTTTGATACTTTATATTTCTGTCTGATTTATATTGTTCAGTGCAGTTGCATCTTTAGTATTTGTTTCTTAAATGAGATCATAGTTCATACAAAAGTATCTCCTGTTAAGATTCCTTAAAGGAACCTTGTGTATTTCTTCCTCAGTTTCTGCATCCTGACATGTTTTTCTTCCTTCTTTGCCAGTATGCTTTTAAACATATTTTTTACAGCCGCATGATTCTTGAGATAAACAATTTTATTGTGTAGGATACAAGTATGTACTTTAAATCTTTGTGGCTGTTGGCAATTCTCACCTGTTTACAGGTTACTGCAGTGTCTCCAAGTGTCCATGGCATGTAGGTAATAATTTGACTTGGAATACATGACTGGAGAAAATCCATAAATGCTTAGAGACAAGATAAAGGCAAGTCAGAAATATTTGAAAAGTAGAACTCTCCAAATGTCTGTAACTATAGCAATGAAATGGATCTTGAGCTAGAGAAATGCAGTCAGCAAGAAACAGCTTCAGATCCAGCTAGAAATATTTAGAGGTACCTGTATGTTCTTCAGCAGTGTGTACAAAGTTAGACAGTTAATGAGCCAGAAATTGTGTGTCTGTAGGTGTGGGACATGCACAGGGACAGCTCTGGTATGTGCATCCAGTAAATGTGACATCTCTAGGCTTCTAAAACTGAGAACCACATTCATTGTCTTGACTTGTTACTGTTTTTCTTTTTGCTTGAAAACATATTAGCTAACTTCCAGTTACTGATTTGATTTTACTTTGGCATTATAAAAAACTGCTCTGGTTTTGAGTAAGTGGGCAGTGAAGGCAGTAGTAGTTATTTTTTTATAGAAAGCATTAGTTTTTGTGCATATGGAAATTCTTCTTAATATGAAGAAAATTACGATATCCTGAGTAGCACTGAGCTTTTTTAAAATTTCCTTGTAATATATTGTGCTTGCAAAATGAACATTACTGTCTCTATTAGACTCCTGCACTAAGTTAATGCTTTAATTGGTGACAAATTGCAAAGAAAACTGAATCAACTTGGTGGAAGTTTATGGTAGACATGAAGATGATGGAGCTTTACTAAGATAAGGTTTGTGGTAGTCAGTGCAGTATGAGAAAGTAGGTGCAGTCACCTGGTCATCCATATTCAACTAATGTTTTTCTGAGCAAGATAATCAGCAGGGCAGGTTTCCTGCTGTCTCCCCTGCAGCTCCTCCTGCAGCTCCTCCATCACGTCTTCCTATCCAGCCCTGCTTTCCCACAACTCTCCCTTCCCCTCCTCATCCGGCATACCTCTCATTTTCATGTAAAGCAGCCCAGCCCTCACCCTGTGCTGTGCTGGCGAGGTGCCCTCTGGCCAGGCAGGGACTGCAACCTGGCAGGCTTTGGAGCAGGGAAGAGTGAGAAGATCCCTTCGATCAGGGAAAGGCTCATTCCAGCAGGGCATTCTGCTGTACCACAGTGTGGGCCTTTTTCACCTCGAAAATGCCTTCTGAGCCTTCACCTACACAAAGAAACCTGCAATTTGGATCCATGAAACTTGAGAGTAAAACCAGTTAGTGGAACTAATTATCAGTTAACAGTTCTTATTTTACTTTATTATTTTTATTACAGATAAAAAAAATTTAGTTTCATTTCTCTATTAATTAACACTTCTCCTAATATTCTGATATATCTCCCCATTTGTATTCATGTATTTGAAAAACGTTGTTAAAATGTTTTTTGTTTTTTAAATATCAAATTTGTGTTTTCCTTTGACTGAGCTCCCTGGATAACTTTTTAAAATGTGCTTATTCACAGTGCCTACAATATTATGTTTGGGTTTGTTTTTTTATTCTGTTTCAGAAAGAAAAAAGTCAAGAAATGTCTGCCAATTTAAAGTACCTTTCCTTGGGTATCCTGGTTTTTCAGACCACAAGTTTAGTCTTGACCATGCGTTATTCTCGGACACTGAAAGAAGAAGGACCTCGTTACTTATCCTCTACTGCAGTAGTTATTGCTGAACTTCTGAAGATTTTGGCCTGTGTTCTATTGGTCTACAAAGACAGCAGTATGTGTCAAATTTTGCACCAAGTAATTTTCCTAATCAATATGCTGTATTGTAGTGGCAACTGCAAAGCAGCCATGTGAGTACAGGCGTACAACAAAGCATTTCCCTTCTCCTTGTGTAAGAAATAGTCTTGGAAAGATATAAATGATACCGTATATTTGCTGAAGAAGGTTCTTTTTAAAGAATGTGGGTACTGAGGAGTGCAAGAATGAATTTTCTGCTAACAACTCAAAGTTTGTGTTTGCTCAGGCTTTTTAAGAAATCCATATGTAGAAGTAGGAAAAAATGAAAAGCCTTAAGTGTGTCCAAAGCATGAGTGATAATTTAGAAGCCCATAATAAACAGCAGATGAAGGAAGGAAGAAACAATTTCATTGTTTTACAGGAAGAATCACAGTTTTAAACTCAAAAAAAGTGTATTCAGATTTACTCTATTTCTTATTTTATACATTTTAAGCTGAATTTATCTGGTTCCTGGGCACATATATTTGATTTTCAACAGCTTAAAAATATCATTGTATATGCATAAATATTGATGACACTCTAGGATTCTAAATATGTACTTTTTAGGTGATACCCTTTGATGTATTATCTTCAAATACTGATACGGTTTCAAAAAGTTTTATTCAAAGTATTTTGAATAATTGTTTTCGTTCTGATATTCCAGGCTGTGGGAAGACACTTGCAGCCATTTTTCCTTACAAATACAAGACTTGTGAAGGTCAAGCAAACATAGATAGTATTTTGATAGTATCACTTGATACTATTTGGGCAACCATTTTAAGAACAGAGCATTGCTATTTCTCTTTTTTCCCCTTCTCCTTTTAATGAATGTCTGTTTCTTTTATTGTTTCTTTGGGTAGAGTGCAATTTACGGACTCTGAACAGAGTGCTGCATGATGAAATCCTTAATAAACCCATGGAAACTCTTAAACTTGCTATTCCTTCAGGAATTTACACTCTTCAGAACAACTTGCTATATGTAGCATTGTCAAACCTAGATGCAGCCACTTACCAGGTATTGTATATTTGCAATTCTCTGCAAGTTTCAAAAAAAAAAAATCCCATGAATTATGCAGTAGTAACAGTTTCTGGTTCTTCTAGGTTACGTACCAACTGAAAATTCTCACCACAGCATTGTTTTCTGTGTCCATGTTGAGCAAGAAATTGGGTGTATACCAGTGGCTGTCATTAGTAATATTGATGACAGGAGTGGCATTTGTACAGGTAAATGTTAGCAGGTGGCTTGTGCTCTTTTAATGTGTTTATTCAAGGAACATGGATTTCTATACTGATTATACAGCTTTCTGATCCCATCAGCTGCACACGAGCACCAGAGTGTAGTCAGGAACTGCGAATCACAACTGGCCAGGTCTGGAAGACACCAGAAATGGGTCAAAGGCAGAAGATAACACCTCTTTTGCAACCCAGTGCTCTACTGTAGAATGTGACAGGGCCTCTGGAGCAACCTGCAAGTAATAATGATAGCAATGTTTATTAGCACATTTCTTCAGACAGTAGGAATTCACAGGTCTTCTCTGCCAGGACAGGCCAGGCTCACTTCGTCATATGGTTGGCAAATTTTCTTGAACTATTTCAAAAGGCAAAACTGACCTCAGGTCTAAATAGTGCAGGCACCAGAGTTTGTAGTTTTCAGAGAGCAGTATCATGGCATGAGAGAATTGGCTAGGAATTTTTAGCAGATTTTAGCATGTCCTAGAAATTTTTATTTTTAAACATAAGGATTTGAAAGAAGATATGATGATTAAATTCAGTAATTAAAAATGAGAACAAAGCATTCTAACAGTATTTAACAGGCTCCTCAGTATGTTTTTGTCTGTGGCATTGCATTTTATTCAGTTGGCATTAGACACATTGCAGGATTTAACTAGTCTACATAGTCGCTGAAGAGGGGCACATGCAAAATACAGTTCACCCCATCCTAAAGACAGCTGGTGTAAGTAGCTTTCTAATGTACTATTTGTAACCAACTGTTGGGTGGCACAAATTGGTGCCTGTGAATGACCATGATAAGTCACACCGGGATTCATAAGCAGTTCTGGCTTATAAGACATAAATCCTGCACCTGTTTAAATTGATGAGTAGTCTCCCAGTTCAGGCAATAGCTTTGCAGTCCTTTAAAAGTATTTATGGTGCAAAATGCCAAACTAGACAAGCATGTGATTGTCTCTATTGAGTAACTGTTACTGTTGCTAGAGAACAAATATGCATTTTATAGATGCTTAGGACTGGATTTAATCAGTGAATTTTGTATAACTGTTTTTACGTCCAGTGGCCTTCAGACTCTCAAGCAACACCTGCTAAGGAGCATTCAGCAGGGTCGCAGTTTGTGGGGCTGATCGCAGTGCTCATAGCCTGCTTTTCTAGTGGCTTTGCTGGGGTTTATTTTGAGAAAATTTTAAAGGAAACTAAGCAGTCTGTGTGGATCAGAAACATTCAGCTTGGTAAGTTTATTTTTAATATCTGTTAAAGATACTACATTCTGAAGAATTAAGATAAATGTGCAAAATGTATGTATATATAAAAAAATCACATTTTAGTATGCTGCATAAATACTATTTTAAAACCAAAAGTATAAACTCTGCTAGATAGAATTCTAGCACTTACTTTCTGATCTCAGCCTAGTTCTTCATTTAATTTTTTGATAGAGTATCTGTAAGTTTGTACAGAGTCTGTCAATTGAATTTGTGTTTTAAAAATTTTATAAAGGATATTATTATATGCAGGATTCTGCGTATCCTCTGTGTTTAAAAAGATTGTCTTCACTAATTCAGAAGATCTGATAAACATAGTAATCATTTTTCCAAACAAAGCAAAACTGCTTTGTTTGTGAATAAAGTTGAGATAGCGAATTATAATTATTTCAGTACAAAAGTCAGTTTGTTTTAGTTGTCTGTATAATCACTGGAGAGAGGCAATTGCAAAAGACAGTTCATCTTAACTATTTTAATGCCCTTACCTATTATGCACCTGTTAGTAAGAGAATGCCTTCTATTTCCAAAGTAGTTCTGGGTCTTCTAGACCCAAGATATTAATGACAACAGAAATGATCTGTGTTCCTGAATGAGTTTTCCCTCAGAGCAATCTTGTCCAGTTTATAGGGTTTGAAACGTGAAGTTCAGTAGAATATGTTTTCCGTTCAAAAATAATTTTTTCCCACTTGATAGAAGAACACTATACTCACCAAATTATAAACCTTCTAGTTTAATCTCAATTTCTTTTTTTGACACTAAGTCTCTACTAGAAAATATTCACCATGTTTGAGACTGGTTCAGGAGAATCCCACTGTGAAGATCCTAATCTGAATTGGCAAACTGCTAATTGCTGCTCTTGCTCTGTCAGAGACTCTCCTCCACTAAATGTTCTCCCTGTTTTTCTCTTCAGGTTGTAGTGTGACTTCAGCCTTCAGTCATGGCTTGTTTCAGGGAAACTGAAATTGTGTTTAAGTGAATTTTGCTATATGCCATAAACAAAAATCACACTGTTCCAGTAGAGAGCAATGGAAGATAAGTATGTAAGGATATCCTCATGGAAACAGTCAAAACTTGTTATTAGTACGGAGAACAGCTTTTGAAAGAGAATAGTAAACTGATTGCATTTGGATGTGATGGTATTGCAAGTGGCAGTCCAGTTTGAGAAGCAGAAATATATGAGCAGCCCTTGAGGATAGGGAACCTGTTTGCACATTTTTCACATGAAGCTTTTAAATCAGTTTTGTACTTTCAGGATTTTTTGGCAGCATATTTGGATTGATGGGCGTATACATTTATGATGGAGAACAATTGTCAAAGAATGGATTTTTTCAAGGATATAATAAACTCACTTGGGTGGTTGTTGTTCTACAGGTGAGATACCTTGTATCCCATGTTTCTGTGAAGGCACTTAGGATTTACTCTTCTATAAATGACTGGGGAAAATAATGGGTGTCATTGAGGCTACTGAGAATTCTATAGTCAAAAGTCCAATCTATGACTATTAGAATAAACCTCTAAATGAAAACCTGGAAAATATATAGCAAGTATATGATTAAGTATTGTGCAACTTAAAGCATGTAAGCATTACTTATTTTGTGATGTTTAAAATATATATATATATATATTTATATGCCCTTCCTCCTGTGGCTAAAAATGTAAAGTGCAAGCATTTCCACTCATTAATGGTGGTAATATGATCAACAATTTCTTTAATGGGGAAAGAACTACTCCAATATTTGTTTTCAACAGTGCATATCCATAATATTAAATAAATTTATTGCTCCTAAACATAGACAAAAGCTTTTCCTAAAGTAAGTGCATGGTGTTAAAATAGATGCCGTCTGTCAAATTATCAGTTTGTGAATCCAAACCTCACTATTTTTTCAGGCACTTGGGGGACTGGTAATTGCTGCTGTTATAAAATATGCAGACAACATTTTAAAAGGATTTGCAACTTCTCTCTCTATTATACTGTCAACACTGATCTCCTATTTCTGGCTGCAAGATTTTGTCCCTACAAGGTAAGAATTATTTTCCGTATATGCTGGAAAAAAAAATAACCAGCCACCCAAGCCACACTCTCAGAATGTTTAGGTACCACTTGCACATCGAAGTTTAGTTTCGTGGCATAACCAGTGGCTAGTTTTTTCAGCCCGGTTGTGCCGGTGCCGTTCGCAGCGGGGTCAGGAGTCCCTGCCTGGCGGATCCCGGCGGTGTGGCCGCTCCCTGCGGGCCGTTCCCGGTCGGTCCCTTCCCTTTCCCGAGCCCGCGGATCCCGCCGGGCGCGCCCCCTGGCGGCGGCCCGTGGCAGGGGAGGTCACCGCTCCGCGTGTCCCAGGGACAGGGACAGGGACAGGGACAGGGACAGCACCTCCCGCACTGCCTCCGTCTCTCCATCTCACCGCAGTCTCTGCAGTCACGCACCCGTGGAAGTCACACTGCAGCACTGAGTTGCCCAAGGGCACCCAGAACCCCGAAGGCAGAGCCTTTTCTAAATGCCACACTGTATTTACTAGTGAAAACACTCAGCCAGGAAAGAAAGTGGTTGGTTTGTGCTTCTAGGCTGGGGACACTGTGTCCTGATGTTCTCTCAGTGAGATTGCCGTGGCTCTCTGCACCTCAGGTTTTGTACATGGGTAGGTTCAGAACAGTGCTTGTCTTGGCAGTGCATGTTAATCTATGGAGTGTAGAAGTCATAATCCCACTTCCAGATATATTAGGATTTTGCTTATAATTGACCAACACTCCTCCCTTATGTTACGCATACTCATAGCATAAAAATATTTTTAGTAATATTTACAATTGTTGTATCTGGTACAAAGGAACATGTTTTTATTAAAAATATGTAAGTGCAATACTGTGGTCTCTTCTAACCTTACCCATTCTGTGATCCTGTAATATTACCAGGGCTTTACTTAAACATTGCAAAAAGGAAGTAGAGCAACTATTTAGGCTTAAAAAGTGGAAGACCTTGAACTTAAAGTATAAGTAGCTTGTATTTGTCTCATTAAAATGAGTGTACAAAGTCGTTTAAGAATTTCTGTGTGCTCAAATGGAAACTTAATAAGTTACTTAACAGCTTCAGCAAACATGTTGAAAGGGAAACAGTGGTAAATAATGAGATTAAATAGAGCCATGTAGCAGCATGTAGAACTTGAAGCCATCTCTTTTCATAAAACTTCGTCAACTTGAGTTAATCAAACTTAATCTTTAGTATGTTGCTTATGCTAACTGAATATATTTGATCTGAAACTGTATATTGTTCCTATTGTGTCAACAAACACTTTTGATTGGAGTAATAGATGTAAACTACTTAAATGCTTGAACGTGTTGCAATGGGCCATGCCCAGAAGTAGGGGAACTGTGTTCTCTGGAGGATTATCATGTCATGTGCCGAAGTTTTCTTAGCATTTGGTTCAGAAGATCAAATTGTCAACATTGTCATGTTTTTATGAGAAGGTTCTTTTCTAAAATTTGTACTGATCATCTGTGGGCTTTGGATATTTTGTTTCAGACTTGTAACTGTCAAAACGACTTGAAAGGCCCATATGACACAATACAAAAGATGCCTTTATTATTTTTTCCTGATATAAATCTTTATGTATCTGCCAAAAATTAGATTATACTAACTTGCAAACTAGTTCTTGGGCCACAGTAATTTGTTTTGACATAAGCTTTAGATTTTAAAGCAAACACAGCTCCAACAACATGAAGCATGTAAGATGTTAAAAGGGGCTGGGTGACCACGGTAGTAACACTTCAGCTCCTGCTTGCATTTTGCACACAGCTTTAGGTAAAAGATAAAAAAAAAAAACCCAAACAAAAAGATTGCTTTTTACAATTGTTTCATGAAATTATAATTTTAATTTTCAGAATATGTCAGTATAACGATACATTAATTTGTAGTTAAAAGTTTCTTATTACAACAACTTCCTGCATCCTTCCAAAATAAATGTATGCAAATTATTTTGTTCTTTATAAATTGGACAAAAATAATTTATCTCTCTGTTTTCCCCATGAAAAAATGTCCTTTCTTTTGATTGTATTGCGTAAATAGATTTGCATCAACTGAAACAAACTTTTTTTCCTATCCCTATTCTATTCAGTGTCTTTTTCTTCGGAGCCATCCTTGTAATAGCAGCTACTTTCCTATACGGTTATGATCCCAAACCTGCAGGAAATCCCATTAAGGCATAGCAGACTTCCTCATCAACCTTCTCAAGATCATGCACTGGGGCCTTGCTAGCAATGGCATGTGGGAAGTGTCATTGTGCACTGCAAGGAAAGAGTTACTGCCCTGAATGTACTGACGAAAAGCTGATGAGTAGCTCTGGAAACCAGAGGGTTACAGGTGGATGATGACACTGATCTGTAACAGGGGGGGAAGGGGGAAATGTCAGGGGAATGCCCAGTGCAACTTGCTAATAAAAACTTGAAAGGAACCAAAAGTTTCCAAGAAACTACAATTAGGAATGTTTACAGCTTTGACAGCGATTGCATCAAAAGAATTTACTGTATTGACTGCTGCAGAAATATGTCCTATGCACTCTTTGAAAGAGCACATGACAACGTTGTCAGATTGTATGTTTTTGCGATTTGATTATATTTAATCTTAGTAAATGTTTTTAACTGTTTGTCTATTTACATGTAATGAGCTGAACATTGTAGTTCTAAAGTGATGGTTCTGATTAGGTATTCCTTGTTATAACTGTGAAAATTGAAGTATGATTGAAAGACACTTTCACAATATCAAATATTTTTATATTTTTAGAAAGCTGATTTAATAACAGAAATCTGTTATTAAATGATAATATTATAATTCTGTTGCTTATATAAAAGTATTGTAAGAATGTTAACATTCTCACCGAAGTACACAAAGGGAGAAATTCAGAGTGAAAGCTGGAAATCCATGTTGATACTCCAGCCTTCATCAGCCTGTAGTGTTCCAACAGATGGAATAACTGGGAACACCAGCTGGAGGTCGCCGCACTAACCTGGGAGTAAGATTAGGGTTATGATAGGTGCTTGCTCAGATGTAATGTTCATTCTTGTTATTTTTATTGATTATAAATCAACTTTTTGGTAGAACCTTAAAAGTAGTTTTTATGTTTTAAATACCGTCTGAAGATTTTCTTTAAACCAAAATTTAAAAAAAAAAAAGCCCATAATAAACATTTTAAAGGCATTATTGTTGTCTGTAACAGCTCCATCTAGAGCTATTAAGGTATGGTATCTGTATACTGTACTGTCCTTTGTTACAGAGGAATTTTTTAAAGAAGTGTTGTTTACTCGTGAACTCTCCAGTGCTTTTTCTGTGCATTTCTATGTAATGGCTTACTTAGAGTTTTGGTGGAGTTTTTTTAATTATTATTTTATTCTGGGAGTCCTTGAGCCAACAAACCAAAATGGTTTCTCTGGAGCTATTCAGTCTAATAGTGGAATTACTTTAATAGGAAACATAATTAAAAAGTAATTAATTGTGCAATGGCTAAATATGAAAGCATACTGTTGGTCTGTTTAAAAAAAAAAACAAAACTTCACAAAGAGACCTTGATGCAGTTAGATCAATTAGACTATTATGAACACTTCACTTGAAGTATTTGCATTTAGTCAGAAACACCAAAAAAAATCTGGAACTAATAAGCTGTCTTAAAAATCACTGGTTTTCAGGAGACTATTCACAGTGGATACTAATGTAGTGACTCTTACCCACATGTTACACCTGTGGTGGTATGCATTTATACAAAAACTTATCAGGAGTCCCTTACCAGTAAAATGGCAAGTGGTAAAAACATCTTACTTCCCTTGTTTCCCCCCACCTCATGCTCTCTCTTCTGTCTTGTGCTAAAGAAAACGTGTTAAAGAGAAAAGCGTTTTAGAATGTTTACTAAAGTACCTCATCCAATTCACAAGGAGATTCTGGAGGAGTGTTCTGAGATTTCTTAATGAAGTGTTGTAAATGCGAAAGGAAGAATTCTACTTATGTCAGTCAAGTAAAAACAGTGTTTTTCTTCTGTTGGCAATTAGGTGTGTTATCATGGTTTTGTTTGTTTATCGTATCAGAGCAAGACATAAATAACCGTCAGAGTTATGCCAAGGGCTTGCTAAGCTTTGTGAACAGTGAATCTGTCCCAGCATGTTGTCATTGCAGGAGCTTTGTGACTTAGCAGTCAAACTGATCTTGTAGTACCCTACATTGGCATCCTGTGTTAGTATTAAATCTTCTGCCTATAGCATTCAATGTGGCAAAATCTGTGAAAAATTCCATGTGGTGATTTCTGCACTGCAGTGCACAGGAGGCGAGATGCGTGCGTGGAACAGCGGCTCACAGCGGTGCTTGGGGCCGAGTGGGAAGTGTTTGTAGTCATATCTGATTTGGAGTTTGGCCTACACAGTGATACTTTTAATTTCATGAATCGCAGTACTGAAAGTGTTCAGGTGATACAGTTGATACTTCAGTTGATACTACAGTTGATACAGGTGATACTTCCTTGAGGAACATCTCCAAAAAAACACAAGTAGCAGGTTGAGAACACTTTAAAGCCAGTTGTACAGGAACCAAACAGGCCAAATAATCACCATGTTGCTGGAGCTCTATTATATGTAAACCCAGTTTTAATATTTCAGGTGCACCTGTCAATACTTGTCAGTAAGGACCAGTTTATAGGAAAGAATGGGAATATGTGCTCTTTGCTTTGGAATAGGATGTCATGCAGCTTTGGAAGACAATGCTGTACTAAGGAACAGTAAATCCTGTCAGTAGATCAGTGACTCTTCCATGCTTGCAGCTGACAGTCCTATTAAGTAGAGGGACAGATCTCTTCATACACTTGTTGCTGTAAAGGAAAAATGAATTTGCATTTTTAACTGTGTTTCCTTAGCCTTTGACAGGGTGAGAACAAAAAGGATTTGAGGAGGGTTTACTGATTTCTGTAGCCTTTGCAAACTGAGAGCATATGCACATTTTCTCACTAAGATACTTTTGTATTTGTTTTTTTTTTTTTAAAGCAGTTTTAAGTCTATAACTCATTAACTAACCAAAGAGGCATAGCTAGGACAGAGCATTGGGAAGTAGTGGATGGTGTGCTTTGAGTTTGCCCTAAAAGCAATCTGTAGGAGTCTAAGTTTCCAAAAATAAACTTGACTTTCTGAACTACTTTTCTGACTTTTAGATAATGGTTTTGTTTAGTTGTATATTTAGCAGGCTAACCTATACTTGGCAGAATTTTATTTAAATATTTAAAAAGTTGTAGCTAGGTATTTATTTGCAATAACTTGAATTATGTGATTTTTTTTTTTAAGACTTGCAGAATGGGAGTACTAGTATTTATTGAATATTTGGATATTTGGTAGTTTTATTTGAGTATCTCTGGGATACATGATAAATTGTCAAATAACAATAAATTTAGAACTGTCTTCAAAGCAAAATAAATCAGTTCTGTAGTGAAAAACTTGAGTCTAATAAAGTAAAATAAACTTTTTACATTGTATTTCTATGCTGTCCACAAGTGCCCCATAATCTTTTTTCTCAAAGAATGGAGATAAAAGTTCTATTCAACTTCATTGTTTTAGACAAACCATGAGAAAACCTCCTTTTTTGTTTGCTTTAATAAAGGGTAGATTAATGTTCTAGATTTTGCTTCTACAAGATAACACCTTTGGTTTTTACTGCAACTTTGTAGTAACTATTGTTTTATTTCCCCTCCCCCAAAAAATCTCATTTTCATAGCCTGTGCTTGCATTTCATTTACTCATACAGTCCTCTCACTTTTAGTAGTACATAATTGTTTTGTGTTCCTAACTTATTTCTATGTCTGTAATTCAAGATACTGTCATAGATTCTGTTGAATTGTTTTTAAATTGATAAAGGAAATATTGCCTTTCTTCTGGTTTTCATTGTCAGTAACTTTCATATTTTGATATCTGTCCTAGTCAGCTGTGCATGTTGTGTTGTATTTAAGCAATTGTCATTTTCCAGATTTGAACTTGTTGCTCGTTTTCTTCTTGCTGGATATTGTGTTGAGGAGGATTATTCATTGTTTTCTTATCTGAAATCTATGTTTTGTAAGAATGAGATATTTGTGTATTAGAAGGTAATGTTTGTCTGTAACATGGTATTATACCATATATATGGTAATGTATCATTACCTAAGGTGGTATATTACTGTAAGAGAGTCCAAGAAGTGTTTCCTTGCCTTTACTTTAATAGTTCTGTTCATTTTCAATGCTGATTATTTCCCAGAGGAAGTGACTAGAGAGTTCTGCTCTTTCCAGGTAAGCTCATCATATGTTTTTAAATACCTAGAATTAAGACATTTTTACTCAAAAAAAAAAAAAAAAAAAAAAGGCAGGGGAAAATGCAACAAAATATATGCAATTAGTTATATTGTATCTTCTGCTTCAGTTACTGTCCAAATTTCTGTTCAGTTGAATGTTAATTTTTTCTAATTATTTCTCGGTAGCTGAATTATAACTCTTTCTAGAAGAAAACAGAATCTGTCCTGAGGTGCCATTCAGTGCTTGTTCTTGAATGTCTGCTACATTTTTGCATCCGAGAGCAGACATGACAAACTAACTCTTTAACCTTCCATCGTCATTCTGGCTATAATTAGTTGTATTCATTTCATCAGCAATTTATAGCTCAGTAAGAATTGCTCATGCTAAGCACATGTTTGTATTTGCTGCCATGAGTATCACTTTTTTAGATTTTTTAAACTTTGTTCTTTATTGTAAATATATGAGCCCAAATATAGATCATATATTCAAATGTTGTAGTGAAGTTTTTAAAGTAGTCTTAGGTTTTTATATGTTGATGTTGATATTTATGTGTGATTACACTGAATACAGTTCTAATATATGGTGTTTCCAGACAAGTTGGAAACTTTTTTTTTTTTTTTTGGTATAACACTGCTGAACCATGGAATGCATCTTACATGACCTAACACAGTCTTTTTTTAAATCCATATTGAGGTAAAATACTGTATTTTTTTCTTTTATATGTGTAGATAATGCCACTATAGTAATAAACTAGTTAAAATTAAGCACTGCCTTTATTAGGAATATGATAAAAAACTGTTTGAGAGCATTGTAAAAGGAGAGGTTTGCCTTATGCGTGTTTTAGCAGAAATAAAACAATGTTTTAGCAGAAATAAAACATGTACTATTTCAGAATATAATTTTGGCATAATTTTCTGTAAAATTCAGAAGGCTGTTGTAAGATGTTTTTTAATGGTATCTTTTAACAATTTACTGAAATTTGCCAGCAATTTAATTTTGACTGAGACATGCTTCTTTTTGACCGGTGTCATGACTTCTTGTGAATCACATTCAAGCACTGTTCTTGTGACTTTCTCTGTGCTTTTCTGGTCTGAAACCCCAGATCTCCTTGTCCTGAACTGGAGGTGGTAGGGAGTGCATGGGTATCAATATCAATTTATAGTGCAAGATGTGATTGTAAAACACTGTAATCCTTTCTAGAAGGAGCTATGTATCACTATAATTTACAATATATCAAAGACCTGAACAGAGTTCACAAACACATTACTATAGATGATGGATAACATGTTTCTCTGTCCTTTCCAGAGATACATATAATAAAACTGGGTCGTTTCACCAGCAATTTTCGGGGCACTTGATTTCTATCCATTCCTTCTGTCAATTTTGCTCTCATCTTATTGTTCAAATGCAATATGACTTAAACTGAAATTTTTAGGCCATTAGGTAACAGGAATTGATTATTCACCGGTTAAACAAAGGAGCATAGCTGGTACAGAGTACTGGGATGCAGGAGACACTATTCTTCCAGTTTGACCTAAAAGCACTTCTGAGGAGTCTTAACTGAAACCATTGGAGCCATCATCTGCTTGTGCTTTTCATCCTGCTTCCAAAAGGATGTTAATGCCCTCTACAGCTAGCGGGCAGTATTATGTATTTACTTAGTAGAGAGGGTCAGGCACTACAGGTGTTTTGATGTAACAGACAGTTCTTTTTTCTCTTCTTCAGGAGTTTTGATGTTTGTCAGGAATTTGTGTCTCATTTAAATAATGGCAGAGTGGATTATGTCAGGACTTGTGTATGTAAGTGGAGTTTGATATTTAAAAACATGTAACTGGCTGAAATTCATGACAGCAAAGGCAAGTCATTTATCTAGAGTTTATTCTACATTTTCATTATTTGAATCATCTGCCCTGTCTACATGATCAAACTTGATTTTTAAAAGCATTTATTTTGAGATAATGACATCAGTAAGAGGGATTGGTCTAATATGAAGGTGTGGATAGTAAAACAGCTGTCTTATCAGCCTAGTTACCAAATGACTTTGCTGACATGGTGTAGTTGTGTCGATTTTTTTACATTAATCCCTTACATGTCACATGTGCCTGTGTGTGACTTTCCCACCAAAATCTAAGCACTCTGAGGGATAGACTTGAAACTGGTATAGGACCTCTCTCCTTTTCAAGTAGAACGAGTGAGAAACTCTGGGACAGAATTGTCACATACTTGGTGTGATACATTAAGACTTGTAACAAATGACTGATAATAGCGACGACTGCAAACATCCTAGACCCACTTGACCCACACTTTGTATCATTAGCTGGAGTCTACTTGCCCTTGTCTCACTGCGAGTACCTCTGTTGGCCCCTGAGTGGGGCTGTGCCTCGGGAAGTTCTAAATTCCTTAAAAGTCGCATTATGATGAGACAAGGGTGCTTATCTTAAGGCGAAGAGTTTAACTTAAGGCTACTCGATCTTAAGCAGTGAAAGATTTACATCTCTTTGTTTACACGGTGGGAGCTGCAATCTGTACCTCAGGGGTGAGGTTCCACTGTTGCTAGGGACAGGAGGATGCTCCATGTGTAGCTGACGTTTTGGGAGAAGCAGGGATGTCGCAGGAGCTGAGGAGATGAAGATAAGCAGCAAGAGGGTTGAAAGATGGAAGACTAAGTGAAAAAGAACATAGAGAAAAGACTGATATGTGGATACGGCCGTGGAGAGTTGCGTCTGGAGGTGTTAATGCAGTAGTACAGGATGTGGACAGTTGTGCTCTGTTTAGCGCTGCAGGATATCAGCAAAGAAGGCATTTATAAGCCACATGAAACCTAATAGTGCTCTAGTACACGTTTCTTCTCTGCTTAGGGGCGTGCTGCCGTGGGAAAGCTGATCCTTATTATCTTATTATCTGAGGTAAATCAAAACCTGGAATGACCCGCCCGTTTGAAGGTGCTGGAGCTTTCATAAACTAAGTTTAAATCTTGATAGTAAGGAAACAGAATGTCTCCAGGCTGGATTTTTAGGATTAATTATATGTGTGGCTGTATGCTTTGGCTCTAGAAATGCCAGGTATGTCCAGCACCAGCCGCCTTCCGCCGCTCCTCTCCCCG